TTTACCTATTTCGCGCCTAAATTTAAATTTGTCTTAATTTAAAACCATTGTTACGAGTTTTCTCCTAATTAGATAGTTTGAGTACCTTGGTAATGTCACATTTGCTTAGCCCTGACTTCCATTTATACACCTGTATCATATCGCCCCTCACTCTACGTCTCTTAAGGGAGTGCAAATTCAGACGCTTTAACCTGTCTCTGTACTCAAGGTTCCTAATGCCCGGGATTAGTCTTGTCATTCTCCTCTGAATTCTTTCTAGGGAATCTTTATCCATTCTGTAGTACGGTGACCAGAACTGAACCGTGTAATCCAAGTGAGGTCTCACAAGCGCAAGATATAATTTTAGGATGACCTCGTTAGTCTTGTAACTCACACTCCCAGTTGAATGTTACGTTACGTCCCCAGTGATGTAAATAACTTAATCAATCACCAAATCTTACTCCAGGTAATTACTTTTATAAACACAGGTAACAGGGTCTTAGGATTACCATTTGGTATTCTTCGTTTTGCTGTATATGGCAAGTGAAAGCATGACATGTAAAAAGAAAAAATACACAACTAAACGATCCTCTTAAGTTGAATAGATTCCTTCTTCTCCTCCCCCGTCGTTTTCTTTCTAATTTTTCATCTTTCTTTCTCCTTTTTAATTCTTCTTCCTCCTCTTCATTCTTTCTAATTCCTCCTCCTCCTCTTCCTACCCTCTTCCTGCTCTAATTCCCCACCAGAGAGAGGACGTAAGGTTGAGTGTTACTGGCGACCCTCTGGCACCTGAGTCTCCCATTGCCCCCCTCCCCTCCCTTGTCTTCCCATTCCGTCTCTAACCCCCTTCCCTTCCTTTTCTTCCCCCTTCCCGTTCCTTTTCTTCCCCCCCTCCCCTTCCTTCTGTTCTCCTCTCTTATCCTCTTCCCTCCCTATTTACCCTTTCTTCCCCTCCCTATTCTACCCTATTTTATCTTCCCTATTCTAACGACGCGCTTAATGGCGAAGAGGATAAAAATAAAAAGTAATATTAATTTTCGCAGTTATTCAGGGAGACGTTTTAGTTACCCATTAAATTTTATCGTTATCTATGACTCTTTTTGTGCAGGAAAGAAAATGAAAAAAAGAAGATGGGTGACTACAGTAAACGGAGTTCACCTTTCGTAGACTATCTCCTCTAAACCCTTCATTACGGGGACGCCGCTTTTAATATCTAATTTGGTTAGCACCAGACGATTTTATTCACCAGAGAGGAGACCTGTGCACACCAGGTCGTGTCGTGTTGCGTCTGTGTAACAAAGCGCGTTGGCATTTGAGCATAAACCATGCGGCGGTTGACAAAGTAAAGACAAAAATCAGAAATTCGAGACGTGGGTTAGGACGAACGATGTTTTTGAATCATTGGATGACGGATATTATTATGATATGGTATACCTCGACTTTAGCAAAGCCTTCAACAGGGTCCCCCACGAAAGCCTAATGCGTAAAGTGGAGGCTCATAAAATTGGAGGAGATATTCTAAATTGGATTAGAGCGTTGTTACAGGACAGGAAACAGAGTCAATTTTAATGTCACTACATCCAGTTGAGGTAACGTCACTAGTGGCGACCGCGTTTTGGTTCACATTGTCTGCTTACGGGAGCGTCAGCGGTCTTTGTTAGCTTACATGTCAAGAAACGAATAACTATCGCATTGGGCGTGTTTATTACGATTTATATTGAACTAAATTCGCTCACTTTTTCTGGAGATGTTGTTTGGATGTTAGCAAGAAAATCGAAACGGCATTTCACAGCTTAGGAAGTTAGGTTAGGTAGGTTAGCTAAGGTTAGGTAGGTAATAACATAAGAATGGAGGAAAAGCAGCTGGCCCAAACTACGCAGCCCCGTTTGCACCCAACCCCTATCGCTCCTATATCCGTCTAACCCATATTTGAAGCTACCCAGCGTGTTCGGTTGTAGTGGATTTCTCCCCTACAAACGCTGTTTGTCGCTGAGTAGCCGACCCCACCAATTCCCCAGTGTATGCCTCGTGGTCTAGGTCAACCAGCGCCGCCATACATCACGGAGCGGGGGTCAACTACTAAGCCACGCCTGCCCCCGCTATTTAAGACCTGACCTCGTGGTGACCTGTCTCTTTCTACCTACAGCCGCAGCCAGCAACACCTCCTCCTCCGCCTGCCTGGCGGTCCTCGCTCCCGCCGGTGAGCTTGGCGACCCACAAGCTGGTCCTCCTCTGAGCACCCTCACCAACCAGCTCTCTCTACATCACGCTTGTAACCATGCTGCCTTCCCAGCACCAAGCTGCATTGTACATCCAATACAACATGTATACAGAGAGCACATTGTGAGTTTCCTTTCTCCATCCCATCCTGAGTGTGAACACCAAACATCCCGAACCCCACACGGTAACTTGTTTCATTCATCCACTACTCTCTTTCCAGACCAAAGTTTACCTATCTCGCGCCTAAATCTAAATTTGTCTAATTTAAAACCATCACTACGAGTTCGCTCCAGGCTGGATAGTTTAAGTACCTTTGTGATATCAACTTTGTTTAACCCTGACCTCCATTTATACACCTCGATCATATCGGCCCTCACTCTACGTCTCACGAGGGAGTGCAAATTAAAATGCTTTAACCTGTCTCTGTACTCAAGGTTCCTAATGCCCGGGAATAGTTTTGTCATCCACCTCTGAATGCTTTTTAGGTATTCGATATCCATTCTGTAGTACGGTGACCAGAACTGAACTGCATAATCCAAGTGAGGTTTCACAAGCGCTAGTCTTGTAACTAAAACTCCTTTGTCTGAACCCAAGTACTTTGTTCGCCTTGTTTCGAGCAAATACGTATTGTTGTCGGATTTCTCAATATCAGTGTTCTTTACATCTCCTAGACTAATTACTTTACATTTGTCCACATTAAATTTCATCTGCCATTTTTCAGACCAGGCGAAAAATTTATTTTTACCTTCCTGTAGTTTTGCGGATTTCTCTTCAGGCTTAATTACACGCCCTATTTTAGTGTCGTCAGCAAATTTACTTACTGTATGTTACTGTCTACGCCTATATCTTGTCGTTTATGCATACAATAAATAGTAATGGTCCAAGTACTGAGCCTTGAGGTACTCCACTAGTGACGTCACCCCAATCGTTAGTGCCGTTAATGCTCATTCGCTGTTCCCTGTCCTGTAACCACGCCCTAATCCATTTTAGAATATCACCTCCAATTCCCTGAGTTTCAACTTTACGTATTAGTTTTTCGTGGGGGACTCTGTCGAAGGCCTTGCCAAAGTCGAGATATACCACAACGTAATCGTGTCTATCATCCAGTGATTCATAAACAGTTGAAAAGAATGATAACACATTTGTCAGACATGAATGCCCACTTGTGAAGCCATGCTGGGAATCATTGATCATTTATTTGTGCTTCTCCAGGTGATTTCGAATTGAGTTTGAAATTATTGCTTCCAATTATTTGCCTACAATTGATGTTAAACTCATTGGAGAATAGTTAGAGGATGGCGATCTATCTCCCTTCTTGAAAATCGGTATCACATTCGCTGTCCTCCAGGATTCTGGTACTACACCAGTTTTTAATGACTCGTTAAACAAGTTTGTTAGGAGCATACTGAGTTCTTCCTTATATTCCTTTAATACTCTGGAAAATATCTCGTCAGGACCTGGCGACTTATTAGGTTTCAGTTTATCTATTTGTTTGCTAACATTGTTACAAGTCACTACTCTCTCGGTAATATATTTTCTTCTTTATCTCTATAAATAGTCGGTGCCTAAGGTGCTAATAGGTTCTGTTCATTCTCGCTTGGTGTTCAGTATCATGCAAATAGTATCTCCAGAAATTTGGTTCAAATCCATTAGTTATTTCTGGTGCTGTCTCCACCTTTACATGAAATAATGTAGGCTTACCTTTTTAAACATGACAGTTGTAATGTTGGTATGGCTCCATTCTTAATCCTTACATGTCTTCTTGGTACTGATATTCCAAGCAGTTTACATTTCAATTTCTCCTCAAACGCTCTGGCCTCAAAATGCAAGCTGCATGTTTGGGCATTTTCAGCATTTAAGAAGTCTTTCTTCTTGCACAAGTGAATCCAACTTCATCTCAGTTCCTTATCCTTCGGAAAGCAATGGGAAGTTACTTCGCTCCCGTTTTTTATTGTGGTAAATACCCCAAAACTGAGCAAGTGTTCAGCATGCTTGTTGACGTGTGCAGGAGTTAGTGACGTCACGACGAAAGGTTCCGGTTTCATTGATGCGTGAGACCTTGACCACAAGAGGCTTTGGTGAGTTATAGTCTGTCAGTGGTGTCATCTGCACGGGACGTCACCTAAGAATACAGCGATCTGTGGTTACATGGACACTTTTTCACCTTATTCTTGGGTTATAATAACTCTTGCTTCTATATACTTTCACTTGCAACTCTCTATATTTCAGTTTATATTTTCAATGTATTTTAAATAGCTGTAATAATAAGAAGGACAATGGGGCATCAAAGTCATATTTTGTACGACCACACGTGATCAAACATGGTCGTTTCCTGGACTAATTTTGTTTTGAGTCTTGAGTTACAGCAACAAAACACGTCGTTGCTCAAGTTATGTCCAACTCTGGGGGATGCGGCGTCTTCATTTGCTTGGAAGTATCTGGCCCTTGTAATAACAGACCTAACTTAATCTACAAGTAGTTTGGGTCGGATAACAGGAAAACCGCGTTGTACTGTATCTTTGTCTATTGGAGGTCTGGTTCCAAAGATAGTTACTTAACATTATTGACATTTGGCAGGAAGTCACATCTAACCAAAGCTGGAATTATACCCGAGTCGAAATGGTGAAAGGGAGGGAAGCGCTGCCATTGTCCAGTGTATGTATAAGCATTTCGTGTGTGTTTAAGGGACTTGTGTTGATGCTTTAAAAAATGTTGATTGGAGAGCATTATTTATTAGTTATGTGATCGTGTGAGTTTAATAATACACATCTTAAGAGAAAAGCGTTGATGATATAAAAAAAAGATCGTGGTTATTTTTTATGCTCTGTGAAGTGACAATATTTATCGACATAAAATCGGGGAAGAGGTTAATGGTAGAATTATTCATTATTATTTTTATTAAGTGGTCAGTTTTAATATAACTAGTTAATTTTCTCTTAAGACAACATGTAAAAAAGTTGTAATAGTAAAATATTCTTTCTTGATTATATTTACAATGTTCGCCTGCAGGTTTCCCAGAGACAAAAGATGGATTTGATGACGATTTACCTTCAACTTATTTCACCTTACGACTAAACACTAACGCTACTAGTAGGGATTAATTTAGGTTAGGTTACCGTTAGGGTGCTTCATCTTCAGGTGAAATAGGTTATAGGCTGAACCTTCAGGCGATCAGATTAAAAAAATTCATCACAGACATTACTTTCTACTTTGTATGTGTTCCAGCAACACTTCTCCAAAACTTTGTACTGAATCAATCCTCACATTCAGTCAATTTGACCAAGGACAGCTGACAATGCCATGAGAGGATTGTTTCCAGTAGTGTCCTTATGTCAGTAGCATCTGGTGATCTAAGGGCCAGGGGGGGTCACCCATCCGAGTACTAACCAGACCCAACGCACACTCATCATACTGTCACTTTATGTAACTTGCTGACAAAACCCATGACCCTTCAGGCTTTTACGCCCTTAATGCACGAGTCATAAAGGCAAGCATGAACTCCGCATGCTTCCCAGATGGGCGCTGTAAACGCTTTTGCACTTCACCTTGCACAGGATGTAAGGGGGTGCCCAATAAACTAGCTCCCTCGGGGGCAATCTATCTATAAAAACATTGCTTAACTTCGCTGACCGGATAAGAAGAAGCAGTGTTCCCAACGTGGTGCTACTGAAACAGACTCTATATTCGTACTTTTTTCTCAGATTAAGTGTCAAGTTTCATCTGGCTTCTTAAGGCAAAAAAAAAAGAAATTTACTTCAGATTTTCTCTCTTTCTCTGTCAAGGAACTTTTTCTATCCAACAATATTTATATCAGAATTCACGAACAGTTAATTGATGCAGCACCCAAGTGACCCTGGTGCTGTGACATTACTAAAGTTCATTTTGCCTCCTGCCTCAGAGGCAAACTGTACTCCAAGCTTTGTCAATAAATTAGCCAACCGTAAAGCACCTTCACTCGCCTCACTTAACGAGAGCGCAGCCAAGATCCTCCTCTGTTGCTTCTCTGGTTTGTCTACGGCTCTATGCTATGGAGAGTCAGTTTGTACATCATTCCTTCCTCTCATGGCTCACTGCTCACCAACGAATTGTTTCTTAACCATCCACATTATTATATCACAGAGATATTGTACTTGTTGTTCACTTCATTCTCAGCACTCTTACGCTTGTCATAGGCAACAGCAGCAGGCATAAACAGCCAGAGGAAGAAGCTGATTATGACGGTGAAGGCCAACACCCAGATAGTGATGAGATAGCTGCCGCTGGCGTCACGGATGTAACCTAAATGAGATAACAAAGAATTATTACATTACAGGTCAAGTTGTCAGATATTTAATGTACGAATAACTTTTCGTTTCACACGTGTTTCTAAAGTTACTGTCTCAAGTATATTATTATCTCACACACACACACACACGTACTTAAGTCTGAAGCTCTTGACCAGAATTAACTTTATGATACTGTACGTGCACGTAAATATTTCACTCGTTGTCACCGTCTTGTATAACTTCCTTTGGGTCAAAAGAATTAATTATTCTACATACAGAAGAAACTCGCGGATCTCTGTCACCGGAATTGTTGCCTTACCTACACAAGGGCCGATCGTGAGGTAGCCGCCAGCTATACACAACATGGTGGCCCCCAGCATGGGCATGAAATTATCGAGGCCCATGTAGTGGACCATGACCAGGTTGAAGATGCTCATGAAGGCGCCCACACCACAGCCCCACACGCCCATCACCACTGCCAGCCACACCTGCTCCCTCACCGTCACAAACACTGACACATGAAACAACATACTCTTAGTATTTATGACACCTTGTTTTTTTATTATCATCTTTTTACATTAAATCAAATTACATAAGTAGAGCAACTTTCTGAACTACAACCGAGACTCACTATACGGTAGATACTGTACAATGTTTACTGCTGTTATGATGTTATTACTGTGGCATATAATTCGGTGTCACTAAAGAAAACCATCATTATTCCTTTATTTGTAACATAGTTTGTTTTCGCTGCTTAAAACTTTATGTGGGACTTTCTGTACTAAGATATTTGAAAGACTGCCAGACCTCATAGTTCACACTTATTACATAACGTGATGGAATTAACATAAACTTACTGATCATAGTAGCGGCGATAGTGAAGCTCCCAGTGAGGTAACACAGTCGGAAGTTGAAGTAGTAAGTGTCGGTGAGTGTTGACACCACGATCCGAGTCAACATGTTGCACATCCCGGACACTGACACACACCAAGCGGCCTCCTGGAGGGTGAACCCGGACAACTGCATGCTGAAGGGTACAAAGGCCAGGAAGTTGAGGTATCCATTGAACATGAAAGTAGCGCCGAGGGCAATGATGACCGCCCTCGCCGACCTCAGGACCCGCAAGTCAGCCAGAGTGGAGCGAGCCAGGCGAGTCATCATCATCCACCGACTTATGCACGACGAACTACAATTCTGATTTAAGTTACTACCATACTCACAAACTTTATCATCTTTACTTATATTTGCCACTTCACGTTTACTTTTCTTTGTGTGCCACTTAACTGGGTGGAAGACCATGGCACCGACACAGCAGTGAAGGACAACACCACCGAGAATAAGATTGGAGCCCGTGAAGCCATACACGGTCTGTAAATACTGTATCAAGAGCGGCCCTAGCAGCTGACCCCCACAGTCCCATGACATGATTATGCCATTAGCTAGTCCTCTCCTCTTGCTGAAGTAGTAAGGGACTATCATGTAGCTGATGTTGGAGATGATGCCACATCCTATACCTGTCAACAACAATATTATTAAACTCTGGAACTTTCTGTAAGGAAGTTATAAATTACATCACATCTCACGTTAGCAGTGGTTATATTATCTTATTTTTTGTAATATTCAAGGCTCAATGTCGTCTGTCTTGATGTCTGGCCACTGTAAACGTCTCTTACATACTGTAGTAATAAATGAGGTAATCCACTCCTGTTCCTACACTCCTGAGGACGACTGTTACGTTATGTATGCCTCTTGGAAGTAATTTAATTGTTCAGATATCTTATTCTTCAACTAACATTAAATTTCAATAGTTATGTAAAGAAGGTATTAAATAATTTTCTTTATGTATTTAATTTATAAGTTTAGCACTGCGAGGAGTAAACCACACCCTGACTTGTCTAAATATACACTACTTGTTAAGATCATTACAGTTTAATTTTCAATGTAACGACTAAAAAACAAAAACCTGTCTTCGTTACTGTGTTTATCAAGATATATATTGTATACTAGTGTTTAAGTAACGACAGTATATGACAATGTATAAGCCAGCCTCTATGAGTTGTAGTCTTAAGAGTTCGTAAAGTAAATTTTATTCCTAATTGGATATGTGAAATATTATAATTATCGGCCTTCCTTAAATTTTGTCACGAAACGTTTCCTTGAGTGACGTGTACCACCACTGACTGCAGTAAAAAATTTCCCTAGTGTCTTTTACAACATCCCTGAATCTACCCTGACACTGCCCTGACTGTGTACCGCTCCAGCTCTTACTCCCGCCAACAGCTGGAGTACTTCAAGGTGTGTATCCCTCTCAGTTCCCTTCTGCAGTCCGACCATCTTACCTCCTAGAGCGGAATACGTGAAGAAGAGCTCCCAGGGAGAAGTGACGAAGGCGGAGGTGACGGTGGAGAGGGTGAGCATGATAGACCCTACAAAGGTCACTCTCCTCCAGCCAAACTCCGCCACGAGAGGTCCGAGGGGCGGCCCCGTCATGCACCACAGGAAACCGAACATATTGAAGATCCAGGCAGTCATGGCTGAGGGCGCCTCCAGCTCCAAGAGAAGGGTAGAGAAGATAATGCCGAAACACTGCCCCACCGTGTCTACCAGCACCTGTGTGGGGACTGAAGGTCATCTTGTGTGGTGAAGACAATAAATTGATCTAAGAGCATATGTGAGGGATAATGATCACTCTTTATATGAAGTTCTGTAAGCGTCTGCGCTAACCCCTTGAATACGATGACCTATTATTCTGAAAACAATGTTATCGTACTCAAGAAAATAGGTCATCTTACTGAAAGGGCTAAGGCATTGTAATCAAGGGGATCATCATATTGAAAGGGTTAAGAAATCGTACTCAAAGGGTTAAATCATGGTACTCAAAGGGTTAAACATGTTAACAGCTCGGCACACACTAAGCGCTTCTTACTGTAAACAAAGCCACATTTAAAAAGTAAACAAGTATAACAAATGTAAACTAATTGGTCAAAAGTTGCGTTAGTGTGGGCTTGTTGGGGCAAAATTATCTATCAGAAAGTCGGTTATTCAGTCAGTATGTCACTTAGTCAGTAAATCAGTAAATTAATCAAGAGTTGGTCTAACACTCGGTCAATAAATCAGTCAATTAGAATAGGTCAAACACTCAGATAGTCCTCAGTTATTGAATCAGTCAGTTAGTCAGTCATTTAAATCAGTTAGTTAGAAGGTCAGGCCAATTAGTTAATCAGTTAGAAAGTCAGTCAGTCAGCGAGAAGAAAGAGACCACTTACCAAGATGAGTGAGGCGCCGACCACCACCACCCACCCCCAGCCTCCATCAGGTGCCAGATGTTCCTCTTCCTCGTCTCCTTCCTGCATCTCTTCCTCCTTCTTATTATCTTTCTTTCTGTGTATCAGGCCATGTGCACTGAGGTCTTTCACTTCTTCCTCCTCCTCCTCCTCTCCTCCATTTATCTCTTCCTCTCTATTATTATCCGTCTTTCTCTGTGTCACACCATTTACACTGAGGTCTTTCTCATCTTCCATTGTTTCTGCTGTTCGATGTACACTCTCTGCTTCTTTCTTGGTCTCTTTTATTACTATTTCTGTATTATCATCTGTTTCTTTGTGTGTGTGGTTATATTCACTCAAGTTATTAACCTCCTCTCTGGTTGCTGCTGCCAAGGTTTGTTTATCGTTCATGTTGTCTGCCTCAAACTCACACCTGCCCACTGTGTGTCCGGACTCCATAACCAGGAAATTAGAATCATATATATAAATACTTCAGACAGACAGACACATGGCATATAATTAGATAAATAGATATTCACTATAATACACAAATCCACCATAATTCAAGTATACGAACAATGAATAGAAAATTGTATTGTATCTTAATAAATTTGTGTTACCTTGAGTAGATTAACTTTGACTGTGTGATTTACTTCTTTTTATCAACACTAAGTGGGGGCTCTACCTCCCCCTTTAGCTTCTAAGACCATCAATGATAAAAACCGATTCTCCCATGACGTCATAGTTGTTGTGTGTGGTGCATTATGGGTCCAGTGAGGGGATACGTGCTCAAAGATGGCTGATGATAACACTGATAGGTAAAAAAGAAGACATTCATAGACTCATCTGAACGGAAAAATACATTAATTTCACTCTATAACCTCCACTTATGATGACGTCTATCCCTCTTCCCTCCCTCCTCCCTACCCCTCTCCTTCCTCTTCCTTACCCCTCTCCTCCCTCCATCCCTGAACCCTCACTTGGCCACCACCACAATCAATACATGCCTCGTTTGTTTACAACTTACGTCATCATAGTATGCGTGCGTCCGTGTGTGTGTGTGTGTGTGTGTGTGTGTGTGTCATCATAATAAGCCCTGTATAGCTCGCCTGGCAATGATATTCTGGAGATGGCGCCAGTCCACTTATACACTTCACCTTGGCATTGGTCCACTACAGTCCAACTGTTTTACGAAATACAGTATATGTCCGTACTTGTCTCTCTGTCTGTCTGTTTTTATTAGTTTTTACAGCTCCTAATTGGCAGTTTAATGCACTTTATTGCCTTAGCTGTCCTTTTAATACTTTCTTAGCTCTCAGCTTTCCGTACAACACTTTCTTAACTCTTAGCTGTCCGTATAACACTTTCTTAGCTCTAGGCTGTCCGTATAACACTTTCTTATTTCTTAGCTGTCAGTATAACACTATCTTAGCTCTCAGCTGTCAGTATAACACTTTCTTAGCTCTTAGCTGTCCTTACAACACTTTCTTAGCTCTAAGCTGTCCGTATAACACTTTCTTAGTTCTTAGCTGTCAGTATAACACTATCTTAGCTCTCAGCTGTCAGTATAACACTTTCTTAGCTCTTAGCTGTCCGTATAACACTTTCTTTGCTCTTAGCTGTCCGTATAACACTTTCTTTGTTCTCAGCTGTCAGTATAACACTTTCTTAGCTCTTAGCCGTCCGTATAACACTTTCTTAGCTCTTAGCTGTCCGTATAACACTTTCTTAGCTCTTAGCTGTCCGTATAACATTTTCTTAGCTCTTAGCTGTCAGTATAACACTTTTTATACTTATTATATGAAGAGTGGAAAAACAGAACACACACACACACACACACACTAGTAAGGCTTCACGCCACCACAGACACAACCAGACTGAGCGGCGTCTGACTGTGAACCACGGAGGAGTGTTGTCAGGCGAATTGTTGTCATGAAGGAAGGTTGTCAGGGAGGAAGGAAAGTTGTCAGGGGGGGAAGGAAGGTTGTCAAGGTGGACTGAAAGAGAGGTTTACACTGTCGGTTATATGAAACAGGAAAGACGTGTCCCGGCGGAGGGAGTTGTTCACAAGGCATAAGGAAGCCGTGCCCACACTAGCAACCCCGTGCACCTCACAAACACAATTGCTCACACACACATCCAAGGGAGAAGCTAGGACTCGTAACAAAATAAATGGAATCTTTATTTTCTCAGATTCTTTCTCAGTATTGTCATTTATAGCCAAGTGCCACTGTATATTATGATCATCAGGTCTTAAAGGAAATACCCTCTTTCAGGGCTGTCACCAAGAAGGACTATAGAAAAGTACACAAATTTAGAAATCACTCTTAACGTTATAATGAACACTATGACGTTTCATACACAAACACTTAAAGTAAACTCATAAATTATACTATCTTGTCTCATACCCAGGAGATAAGGGTAATATCTTTTCTCACTATCACCACTCCGCCGTCTGTCGCTCTAGCTAGGGGAATGAAGTCACAGTAGGGGAAACCACACCAAAGATCACAGTGTAGTCGGGAAGAGGAGCAGCCGACTCAAACAAGTGGTAGCTTGTGCCAACTGAGTCACGCCGCGGCCACACTCCCGGCTTCCCACTACACTTTGGGGGAGTCGAGAGGGAGGATTCGGACGAGTTGAGCCACGGTTGTTAATGGTCTCTTAATTTCGAGAATTGGATAGAAGGGCTAACAACTTCTTTGGTCGTCACACACACACACACACACCTATATTTTCAGTTTTTTTCTTATAAATCTTTAAGTTAATACAATTTTCAATAATTCCATTTCCCACATGCTGAGAAGCTATTTCTGTACAGTATCGGTGTACCACCCTTCGCCATTCTTTTGTTACTCAATACAGGGTTCAGGGTGTCGTGGTAGGGAAGCTGAGGTGAATTAAAAAAAAACCCTTGGAGTCACCTAAATGTGGGTAGCGTGCGACCAATATATTCAAAGTACCTAGTATGAGTAAGTGACAGGATAGTGGATTTATGCCTGGCTTAAGGACACACACTCTCACAGCGGGATAATAGAGGCAACTAATGGAGGGTATTACGTGTGGGACTGACAAGAGGAGTGAGGGACGTACTCCGCCTCAGAGACTTGCAAATACATATTATATCTTTTAGCTTAAGGTGTGTTACAGGATGGTCTGTATTACAGCTAAGGTGTGTTACAGGATGGTCTGTATTACAGCTAAGGTGTATTACAGGATGGTCTGTATTACAGCTAAGGTGTATTACAGGATGGTCTGTATTACAGCTTAGGTGTATTACAGGATGGTCTGTATTACAGCTAAGGTGTATTACAGGATGGTCTGTATTACAGCTAAGGTGTATTACAGGATGGTCTGTATTACAGCTAAAGTGAATTACAGGATGTCTTTTTATTGAAAAGTTCGTGTGGGTCGTAACAGATGCACCACATAACACTTGATGTTTGATATTTTATGGTCAGAACACTTGTACAGTACATGTAGTTATTGGTAAGTGGGTTTGCACTTTACACGGGTCACCGCAAGCCATTGATCATGGTTGACCTCATTGGTTGCGTTGGAACTCTTAGCTTCAACCCAGAGCGACGTTTTTATTTGTCACCACCATAATGACACACACTATGAGTGCTTCTTACCTCGATAGGACGTTACACACACACACTGATTATCAGTAATTTATTGGGCCTTGATTAGAACTGATAGGAACTACTTTACATATCCCATAGCGTCATCACGTTGCCCTTTTAGATAATAGTCTTGTAAATGTTCAAGTGAAAAATAAAGTTTCTGCTCATTACACCTTCCTTCCTTTCTGCGAGCTGAAATATTTCTGTAAATTGCATCAATCGATTCTCCTAGTCAGTGCTTCCCAACTTTTTGTAGGATCTGGGCCACATTTGTCATTGTAAATATAGTGGAAGGCGCCAAAACTGTGGATCTAAATTCAAGAAAAAACCTCATATAGTTATTTGCAGTTTTACACAAGTCAACCTTTTACCAGTTACATACTTTTTATATACTGTATACTCTTTCAAGTTGACTCTCTCTCTGGTCCGGTCTGGGGTAAATGCACACGTTTTGTACACGTCAGACTCAGACTTTCTCACTAGAGTAGTATCAAGTTATTTCATATTTTCATTATTGTCACTGATAAAGTATCCCACATTTTTTTTACATTTTCTAATAAACCCTTGTGGGGTCCATAATATGGTTACTCCGGTGCCATGGCTCCCGCGGACTACAGGCTGGGGACCACTGTGACCTAGATAGTTACAAGCGAGTTACCAGCGAATAGTGCAGCTTCCACTTTTGCATCTAATTCAAAATCTCAAACGTATGCAATAACCTTACAGTCATGTACTCGTTTATGTAATATTAATAAGTAAACTAAACTCAAACATTGTGATATATTTACAAAGACTTTGAGTATTTCAACGTTTGACGTTTAATATAACGTCTAAAGTCACGTAACTGAAATACTCCAAACAAAGGAGTGTGTACTGCGAGGGGAGACGCTGAGTCCTTGATCATCTTACATCAGCAGCATCAGGCACCGCAGTTGACCTTATATGTTTTGTTTTCTTTTTACTGTTTGTTAACTGTATGCCTCAATTATCTTTTTTCAGGGATGTGATAAATTAGTAAACAATAAAATGTGTGATGATGGAATAAATAGAATTTAAGTAGTAGGCAGCTACCAAACAGGGAGGTACTACCGCCTGGGAAGATATTGGAAGCATGATGTGTTGTCTAATGGTAGACCCTGCTGCCATATGGCATCACAAAAATTGTGACCAAGTCACATAATTGCAGGGTCTCAATTGTTTCTCTTACTATTGACAACACAACATACATATATCGTTTTTCACTATTGATTTTTTTTATTTACTATTATTATTATTATTATTATTATTATTATTAGTAGTAGTAGTAGTAGTATATATTTTCACCCCCAGGCCCTGGTGTGGGTCATTGACCTGTTCTCTGGTGAGCTAATCCCGCAAAAAGAAGTAGATTGTGAATGGCGACAACTTCAACACAAGCAGTCGTTTTAATTTTTCGTGTTGTGTCACGACACGCAATGTATGTCACTGATCGTTACTCTCAAGTACTCAACCCCATTATCTTTTAAGCGTTGGTTCGTGTGATGTTCTCTTGTTCAAGGATCCATGTAGAAATATAAACATTTTAACTGCTTTCTTAGACGATCCTTTGTTTAATCGACTTACTGTTTGCCTTTTTGTATACCTGCATTGTTTACTCACAAACTGAGCTCCTGTCCCGATTTTTCTGAATAAATACCTTTATCTATCTATATATCTATCTACTGTATTTGTCTGTCCCTGCCTATTCGTGAACAAGGAAGCTGTTATCATCGCCCAAAGCTGGTGATTGTGTGTAATAATAATAATAATAATAATTAACGGTTTATGAAAAAGTTCTGCAGCCCGAAGGCTGAAATATACATTGGACATAAATGACTTATTACATACATTGGTGGTTTAACAAAGCCTTCATTAGAAGGTGAAGGAACATACAGTGAACATACAGATTAATGTAGGTGTTGAACAGCAAACACGTAGTGTAGTAACTCCCTCCCAGATGGTGTTAGGAGGGACCTCACGTGGTGTAGTAGTTCCCTCACAGATGGTGTTATGGGGGCCTCACGTGGTGTAATAATTCCTCACAGATGGTGTTATGAGGGGCCTCACGTGGTGTAGTAATTCCCTCACAGATGGTGTTATGCGGGGCCTCACGTGGTGTAGTAATTCCCTCACAGATGGTGTTATGAGGGGCCTCACGTGGTGTAGTAATTCCCTCACAGATGGTGTTATGAGGGGCCTCACGTGGTGTAGTAATTCCCTCACAGATGATGTGTTATGAGGGCCTCGTGGTGTAGTAATTCCCTCACAGATGGTGTTATGAGGGGCCTCACGTGGTGTAGTAATTCCCTCACAGATGGTGTTATGAGGGGCCTCGTGGTGTGGTATTCCCTCACAGATGATGTTATGAGGGGCCTCACGTGGTGTAGTAGTTCCCTCACAGACGGTGTTCTATGAGTGAGGTGTGGTCCCAGGCCTTCCTATCGTAGACGGATTAACACATCGCTGGTTGTTGGGTCGGGCCCGTTATCACTGGGTACCTGGGACCTCCACTGTGAAGAGGTCAACTTGGGTACCACTGTTACTGTTGAGTTGTTCTCACTGACTTAAGCACTGTTCACCACTGTTCACCTCTGTTTAACACTGGTTCATTCCTTTCCTAAATAAATAGTAACTTCTGGCGTGAACTTGTTGATATTCCGGTGGGGAGGGTTCAGGGAGGGGGAGTTGATATGGGCCATCTTAACAGGTTGACCTGGCTGCCGAGAGGAGCGCCAGGTACATCTTGACACCCTTCGTGGTCAGGATGTGTGTGTGTGTGTGTGTGTGTGTGTGTGTGTGTGTTCAGTCACTGTCTTGGCACGCTGACAAAAAGACTGAAATCCGAGGTGATGAGCGACTCCATGACATCACCTTATTCCTAGCAATTATCTGGCTAAATTTACACGGGAGCTTTTACCAGGTTATGGGATGTACATAACGGAGTCTGTACCGTATTAGACTGAGTCTGTACCGTATTGAACTGAGTCTGTACCGTATTGAACTGAGTCTGTACCGTATTGAACTGAGTCTGTACCGTAGACTGAGTCTGTACCGTGTAAGTAAACGCAGTATCTTGTTCCAAATGACGGGAGGAGGAAAAACAAACAGATAGAAGATGTGAATTTCTCAGACTGATGAGTGGAAACGGGTAAGAAAATATCAAACGTGAGAGAGAGAGAGGGAGGGAGGTTGTGGTCGCTTCACCTCACGACCTTGTACAGTAGTCAGTCATGAGTCATATTTTAATTTTTTTTCTTGTGTGTGTGCTCTCTCTCTCTCTCTCTCTCTCTCTCTCTCTTCTCTCTCTCTCTCTCTCTCTCTCTCTCTCTCTCTCTCTCTTTTCCTTAAGTGTGTGTTATAATAGATTAAAAAACGGGTGACTCAAGGATTCGTTTTCTATATTGCCTGTATTAGGGGGAACTGGTTAAGAAAGCTACCTGTCAGTGATAGACTCGGTCATCAAACTAGTGAGTCAGTCAGTCAGTCAAACAGTAATTAAGCCCATCAGTCAACCAGGCAGACAATAAATTAGTTTTTAGGCATATTTATCAGCCAATTATTCCTTCAGTTCGCCGTATAAAGGCAATTTATCTGTCGCATTTCGTCACTCAGGACTTGTCTTCGACGCTCTTAAGCTGTTGAGTACCACAGTTAGTCAGATTAATGGAGACTTTGCTGTGCTCTAGGTTGAGTTAATGATATATACTAAAGGTAAATGTTTTGAATCTGTTATGTACTATGTCCTGAAACTGCTCTCGCTCTCTCTCTCTCTCTCTCTCTCTCTCTCTCTCTCTCTCTCTTATTAACACGTGCCGGTCTTTGCAATGAGAGTTTAACTAATAGTAATGGTCAACATAGTCCTTAAAAATATTTCTTGTATTATATAGGAGGCAGCTAAAGGTTGTGTCGGCTGTGTGTCAGTTGTATGTCAGGTGTGTGTGTGTGTTGTATGCCAGGTGTGCTTCAGTTGTATGTCATGTGCGTTAGTTCTATGTGTGTGTGTGTCAGTTGTATGTCAGGTGTGTGTGTAAATTGTATGTAAGGTGTGTGTCATTTGTATGTCAGGTATGTGTCAGTTGTATGTCAGGTATGTGCCAGTTGAATAAGAACATAAGACAATAAGGAGTCTGCAATAGGCCGGTTGGCCTGTGCATGGCAGCTCCTTAAAACTCTCCACGTTCCAGCACTTACTACAAAGTTGCTAAGCTTGTTCCACTCGTCCACCACCTTGTTGTGAACCAGTTCCTTCCTATCTCCCTCCTAAACCTAAACTTATCCAACTTAAATCCGTTGCTGCAGGTCTATCCTCCTCGGATATTATAAGAACTTTATCTATATCGCTTTTATTGATTCCTTTCACCCCTTAAATACTTCTATCATATCTCCGCACTCTTCGTCTTTCTAGGGAATGCAAGTTTAGTTTCTTTAACTTATCCTGATATGGAAGGTTTCTAAGTCCCGGAATCATTTTCGTCATTCTTCGCTGCACCGACTCTAGTGAATTTATATCCATTCTATAATAAGGGCACCAGAACTGAACCGCATAATCGAGGTGCGGCCTGACTAACGCAAGATATAGTTGCAATAAGACCTCTGCACTCTTATTACTTACACTTCTAGATATAAAACCTAATACTCTGTTTGCCTTGTTCGAACATTAACACACAGAGTGCAAAATAAACCTGAAGTATAAGCAGATTACTAAACAAACACAGAGTACAAAACAAACGATTGAGGCATCAGGAAACATGTTTATTGTTATGTCAGTTACAAAGTATATTGCTTCCTCAGAGTCCCGTTTAAGATGTTGACAAAACTTTTATTTGGTACGGAACCTGACCTGACCTTACCTGACCTAACCTGACCTGACCTGACCTAACCTGACCTAACCTAACCAACCTAACTAAAGAAACCTTCATTAGCAACCTATTGGGTTTTTTTACGATAGGTACCTAATCTTCAGGTGAAATAAGCTGGGATACAGAATTTTCAGGTGAAATAAGCTGGGATACATAATCTTCAGGTGAAATAAGCTGGGGTGCATAATCTTCAGGTGAAATAAGCTGGGATGCATAATCTTCAGGTGAAATAAGCTGGGATACATAATCTTCAGGTGAAATAAGCTGGGGTGCATAATCTTCAGGTAGCCACTTTCTTTTGCCTTTATAATTATTCTTATATAATAACAATAATAATAATAATAATAATAATAATAATAATAATAATAATAATAATAATAATAATAGTCTACAACAGCCGGACCCTCGGAATTTGTTTAAGGTTTCAGATGGCGACCAAAAGTTAGGTTAGTTTAGCAATTGTTAGGTCATAAAATGTTATATTTATTTTTGTATATTGTATTTAGTTAAGATTGAGGGTCTTATTTATTGTAGTGGACATAATTCGATATTGTTTTTTCTTGTTTCTAATGATAAGTTCAGACATTTTCTTCTCTTATATTTTTCATCTCATTGTACTTATAATCAAGAATGGTTGGTAGCGTAACCCAACCCAACCCAACCCAACCAGTCGGCTGGGCCTCCCGGACCCCAGCATATTAAATATCTCGGCTCTAGGTTGTTCGCGAGGATACGTCATAGAAGAAAGGTGTCTTAAAATTTTTTAAACTCTTACAAGTATATGCAAAAACAAAAAAAATACGGAGATTCGGTTGATGGCAACAAATGCGGGAACAGCATTTCTATTACTGTACTGTAGTTTTCTGATTTTCAACTTAATTGAAGTTTATAAACATCTCGGAAGACACTACTCAGTCGAGGGTCTATAACTCGAGCTGGCAGACGCCCGCCCCACTCGAGGTCACAGCTCAAGGTTGAAGAAGCCACAACTTCAGAAAATTATGAGGGCAAACTTTTTTGGAGTAAGAATTGTAAACTCTTTGAATAATTTACTACAGTGTTGTAACCGCACCGAGTGAGCTCATTTAAGACCAGACTTGACCAACACTGGCGCAGGTACAGATACAAGTACATTCAGGAGTCAATGCATGCCCAGTACTTGCCAACAGTGCTTAAAAGAGACGTGACTGACCGCCCAAGCGGCTAACAAGCCGATCATTGGCCAAGTTGATAAAAGTAAAAGATTAAAAATGTGGCGTTGCGGAATGAGGTGTAAAAATTTCATAGAGTTTCTGGAAAAAACCTACAAAAACTGAAAGATTGCATCGGTCAAATTTAAGGTCTGGGTGCTGTCCAGGGTAAGTGTAGGTTGTATGGTCAGATGTTCAAATGTGTCTAGAGAGGTGATAATTAAGACTCAAACAAAGGTTTCTTTAATATATTATTATTTAAACTTCTTTATACAAAATGTTAGGGAAAATTTCTTGTGTTTTAGGAGGAGATGCGTAGAGAACATTCCTGACTTGTTTAAAGTTTGCGTAATTCTCAAACATCAAGAACTTACACAAAATATTTTCTTATTTCAATTATTTACATGATATTGGCCTACATACAGAAATAATTTTCTTATTATAGTTAATTCGATCTATACCTATTTTGTCTTTAGAGATGAAAATTCACTTGGAGAGGCAACTTAACGCTAATAAAGATTTTATGAAGGAAATCAGAATAGATTGAAAGGAACAGCTGGTGTAGGGTAGTGGTAGCCACCTTGACCAGCGCTGCCGCCATCACCACCAGCGGCGGAGATGACTTCACCCACCCCGGCGCTCCCACTCGGCCTTGTAATGCCGGGAACAACTGAGGGAGAATGTGGGATACTAGACCCACTACCACCACTAGCAGGGACAGGACGACCACCACTAGCAGGGACAGGTCGACCACCACTAGCAGGGACAGGTCGACCAATACCAGGGACAGGTCGACCACCACTAGCAGGGACAGGTCGACCACCACTAGCAGGGACAGGTCGACCACCACTAGCAGGGACAGGTCGACCAATACCAGGGACAGGTCGACCACTCCCAGGGACAGGTTGACCACTACCAGGGGGAGGACGACCACTACCAGGGACAGGTCGACCACTTCCAGGGAAAGGTAGACCACTACCAGGGACAGGTCGAACTCCTTCACCAGGGACAAGTGATACACCTTGTGTGCCAGGACCATATTGGTAGCCACTACCAGGACGACCACTGATGCCAGTAGTAGAGGAAACACCTTGAGTGGTAGAGCCAAAGCTGCTGCCAGGACGACCACCCGCACTAGTGCCAGGACGACCTCCAGCACTAGTGATTGGACGACCATCAGTACCAGGCGTAGGACGAGCACTTCCTGGTACTAGTGACACGCCTTGTGTACCTGGACCATACTCATAACCACTAACAGGTCGGGTCGTACTTCCCGTGGCAACATATGCACCTTGTGTGCCTGAGGCCAGTCCACTACCTGGACGGATCTCATTACTGTCAACAGAAGGAGCAGGTGACCCGAAGGCACCAGAGGCACTGGGACGACTACCAATACCAGAAGTAGTACTACCACTAGAAGGGGTAAGACGACCACTTCCAGGGGTAGGACTACCACTACCAGGGGCAGGACGGCCAATACCGGGGGTAGCACTACCAGGGGCAGGACGGCCACTACCAGGGACAGGACTACCACTACCAGGGGCAGGACGGCCACTACCAGGGACAGGACTACCACTACCAGGGGTAAGACGACCACTTCCAGGGGCAGGACTACCAGGGGCAGCACTACCAGGGACAGGACGGCCACTACCAGGGACAGGACTACTACTACCAGGGCAGGACTACCACTGCTCAGGGCAGGCAGCACTACCAGGGGCAGGACGGCCACTCAACAGCAGGACGGCCACTACCAGGGGCAGCACTACCAGGGGCAGCACTACCAGGGACAGGGACGGCCACTACCAGGGCAGGACCACTAATTACCAGGGACAGGACGGCCACTACCAGGGGCAGGACGCACACTACCAGGGCAGCACTACCAGGAACAGGGACTTGCCACCACCAGGGGCAGGACTACCACTACCAGGAAAGGCTGGCCACTGCCCAGGCAGTGGACGGCCACTACCAGGGGCAGGACGGCCACTACCAGGGGCAGCACTACCAGGGGCAGGACGGCCACTACCAGGGACAGGACTACCACTACCAGGGAAAGGTTGGCCACTAACAGGGACAGGACTACCAGGGGCAGCACTACCAGGGGCAGGACTACCACTACCAGGGACAGGACTACCACTACCAGGGACAGGACTACCACTAGCAGGGACAGGTCGAACTCCTTCACCAGGGACAAGTGATACACCTTGTGTGCCAGGACCATATTGGTAGCCACTACCAGGACGACCACTGATGCCAGTAGTAGGGGAAACACCTTGGGTGGTAGAGCCAAAGGTGCTGCCAGGACGACCACCAGCACTAGTGCCAGGACGACTACCAACATCAGAAGAAGGACGAATACCAGTACTAGAGGTAGGACGACCACTACTTGGGGTGGTACCAAATGCAGTACTTGGTGAATGAACAGTATCAGTACTAGGAGAAGGACGGCCACTACCAGTGGCAGGACGACCACTACCAAGGACAGGACTACCACTACCAGGGGCAGGACGACCACTACCAGGGACAGGACTACCACTACCAGGGACAGGTCGACCACTACCAGGGACAGGTTGACCACTACCAGGGGCAGGTCGAACTCCTTCACCAGGGACAAGTGATACACCTTGTGTGCCAGGACCATATTGGTAGCCACTACCAGGACGACCACTGATGCCAGTAGTCGGGGAAACACCTTGGACGGTAGAGCCAAAGCTGCTGCCAGGACGACCACCTACACTAGTGCCAGGACGACCACCAGCACTAGTGACTGGACGACCACCAGCACTCGTGCCAGGACGACCACCCGCACTAGTGCCAGGACGACTACCAACATCAGCAGAAGGACGAATACCAGTACTAGAGGTAGGACGACCACTTGGGTGGTACCAAATGCATTACGGTGAATGAACAGTACCAGTACTAGGAGAAGGACACACTACTAGGACAGGACGACCACTACCAGGGGCAGGACGACCACCACTAGGACAGCTGACCACTACCATGGACAGGTTGACCACTACCAGGACAGGACTTCCACTACCAGGGCAGGACTACCACTACCAGGGCAGGACGGTTACTCACCAGGGCAGCACTACCAGGCAGGACGGCCACTACCAGGGCAGGGATTGCCACTACCAGGGGCAGCACTACCAGGGCAGGATTGCCACTACCAGGGCAGCAGCAATTACCAGGGACAGAACTGGCTCACTACTAGGGGCAGGACGGCACTACCAGTGGCAGGACGGCTACTACCAGGCAGGACACACTACCAGGGCAGGATGGCCACCACCAGGGCAGCACTACCAGGGACAGAACTGGTCACCACCAGGGCAGGACGGCCACTAACAGGGCAGCAGTGGACGGCCACTACCAGGGTGCACGGCCACTACCAGGGACAGGACTACCACTACCATGGACAGGACTACCACTACCAGGGGCAGGACGGCCACTACCAGGAGCAGGACGGCCACTACCAGGGGCAGCACTACCAGGGGCAGGACGGCCACTACCAGCAGCAGCACTACCAGGGGCAGGACGCCCACTACCAGGGGCAGGACGGCCACTACCAGGGGCAGGTTGACCACTACCAGGGACAGGTCGAACTCCTTCACCAGGGACAAGTGATACACCTTGTGTGCCAGGACCATATTGGTAGCCACTACCAGGACGACCACTGATGCCAGTAGTAGGGGAAACACCTTGGACGGTAGAGCCAAAGGTGCTGCCAGGACGACCACCCGCAGTAGTGCCAGGACGACCACCAGCACTAGTGCCAGGACGGCCACCAGCACTAGTGCCTGGACGACCACCAGCACTAGGGCCAGGACGACCACCAGCACTAGTGCCAGGGAGACTACCAGCACTAGTGCCAGGACGACCACCCGCACTAATGCCAGGACGACTACTAGCACTAGTGCCAGGACGACCACCCGCACTAATGCCAAGATGACTACTAGCACTAGTGCCAGGATGACCGCCAACAATAGTAGTTGGATGACGACCAGCACTAGTGGTTGGATGAGCACTAATAGTAGTTGCTGGATGACCACCAGCGCCAAAGGCTGGACGACCATCAGTACCAGGCGTAGGACGAACACTACCTGGGACTAGTGACACGCCTTGTGTACCTGGACCATACTCATAACCACTAACAGGTCGGGTCGTACTTCCCGTGGCAACATATGCACCTTGTGTGCCTGAGGCCTGTCCACTACCTGGACGGATCTCATTACTGTCAACAGAAGGAGCAGGTGACCCGAAGGCACCAGAGGCACTGGGACGACTACCAATACCAGAAGTAGTACTACCACTAGAAGGGGTGAGACGACCACTTCCAGGGGTAGGACTACCACTACCAGGGGCAGGACGGCCAATACCGGGGGTAGCACTACCAGGGGCAGGACGGCCACTACCAGGGACAGGACTACCACTACCAGGGGCAGGACGGCCACTACCAGGGACAGGTCGACCACTACCAGGGATAGGTCGACCACTACCAGGGATAGGTCGACCACTACCAGGGATAGGTCGACCACTACCAGGGACAGGTCGACCACTATCAGGGACAGGACGGCTAATACCAGGGATAGGTCGACCACTACCAGGGACAGGTCGACCACTACCAGGGGCAGGACTATCACTACCAGGGACAGGTCGAACTCCTTCACCAGGGACAAGTGATACACCTTGTGTGCCAGGACCATATTGGTAGCCACTACCAGGACGACCACTGATGCCAGTAGTAGGGGAAACACCTTGGGTGGTAGAGCCAAAGGTGCTGCCAGGACGACCACCAGCACTCGTGCCAGGACGACCACCCGCACTAGTGCCAGGACGACTACCAACATCAGCAGAAGGACGAATACCAGTACTAGAGGTAGGACGACCACTACTTGGGGTGGTACCAAATGCATTAGTTGGTGAATGAACAGTACCAGTACTAGGAGAAGGACGGCCACTACCAGGGGCAGGACGACCACTACCAGGGACAGGACGACCACTCCCAGGGACAGGACGACCACTACCAGGGACAGGTCGACCACTTCCCGGGAAAGGTAGACCACTACCAGGGACAGGTCGACCACTTCCAGGGAAAGGTTGACCACTACCAGGGACAGGTCGACCACTACCAGGGGCAGGACTACCACTACCAGGGACAGGTTGACCACTACCAGGGACAGGTCGAACTCCTTCACCAGGGACAAGTGATACACCTTGTGTGCCAGGACCATATTGGTAGCCACTACCAGGACGACCACTGATGCCAGTAGTAGGGGAAACCCCTTGGGTGGTAGAGCCAAAGGTGCTGCCAGGACGACCACCAGCACTAGTGCCTGGACGACCACCCGCACTAGTGCCAGGACGACTACCAACATCAGCAGAAGGACGAATACCAGTACTAGAGGTAGGACGACCACTACTTGGGGTGGCACCAAATGCATTACTTGGTGAATGAACAGTACCAGTACTAGGAGAAGGACGGCCACTACCAGGGGCAGGACGACCACTACCAGGAACATGACTACCACTACCAGGGACAGGTCGACCACTACCAGGGGCAGGTCGACCACTATCAGGGACAGGTCGACCACTACCAGGGGCAGGTCGACCACTACCAGGAACATGACTACCACTACCAGGGGCAGGACTACCACTACCAGGGACAGGTCGACCACTACCAGGGACAGGTCGACCACTACCAGGGGCAGGTCGACCACTACCAGGGGCAGGTTGACCACTACCAGGGGCAGGTCGAACTCCTTCACCAGGGACAAGTGATACACCTTGTGTGCCAGGACCATATTGGTAGCCACTACCAGGACGACCACTGATGCCAGTAGTAGGGGAAACCCCTTGGGTGGTAGAGCCAAAGGTGCTGCCAGGACGACCACCCGCACTAGTGCCAGGACGACCTCCTGCACTAGTGATTGGACGACCATCAGTACCAGGCGTAGGACGAGCACTACCTGGGACTAGTGACACGCCTTGTGTACCTGGACCATACTCATAACCACTAACAGGTCGGGTCGTACTTCCCGTGGCAACATATGCACCTTGTGTGCCTGAGGCCAGTCCACTACCTGGACGGATCTCATTACTGTCAACAGAAGGAGCAGGTGACCCGAAGGCACCAGAGGCACTGGGACGACTACCAATACCAGAAGTAGTACTACCACTAGAAGGGGTAAGACGACCACTTCCAGGGGTAGGACTACCACTACCAGGGGCAGGACGGCCAATACCGGGGGTAGCACTACCAGGGGCAGGACGGCCACTACCAGGGACAGGACTACCACTACCAGGGGCAGGACGGCCACTACCAGGGACAGGACTACCACTACCAGGGGTAAGACGACCACTTCCAGGGGCAGGACTACCACTACTAGGGTCATGACGGCTACTACCAGGAGCAGCACTACCAGGGGCAGGACGGCCACTACCAGGGACAGGACTACCACTACCAGGGACAGGTTGACCACTACCAGGGACAGGTCGACCACTACTAGGGACAGGTTGACCACTACCAGGGACAGGTCGAACTCCTTCACCAGGGACAAGTGATACACCTTGTGTGCCAGGACCATATTGGTAGCCACTACCAGGACGACCACTGATGCCAGTAGTTGGGGAAACACCTTGGGTTGTAGAGCCAAAGCTGCTGCCAGGACGACCACCCGCACTAGTCCCAGGACGACTACCAACATCAGCAGAAGGACGAATACCAGTACTAGAGGTAGGACGACCACTTCCAGGGGCAGGACTACCACTACCAGGGACAGGACTACCACTACCAGGGGCAGGACGGCCACTACTAGGGACAGGTCGACCACTACCAGGGACAGGTCGACCACTACCAGGGACAGGACTACCAGGAGCAGCACTACCAGGGGCAGGACGGCCACTACCAGGGACAGGACTACCAGGAGCAGCACTACCAGGGCAGGACGGCCACTACCAGGGACAGGACTACCACTACCAGGGACAGGACTACCAGGAGCAGCACTACCAGGGACAGGTCGACCACTACCAGGGACAGGACTACCAGGAGCAGCACTACCAGGGGCAGGACGGCCACTACCAGGACAGGCTGACCACTACCAGGGGCAGGTTGACCACACCAGGACAGGACTACCACTATCAGGGACAGGACTACCACTACCAGGGACAGGTTGACCACTACCAGGGGCAGGCTGACCACCACCAGGGACAGGACTACCACTATCAGGACAGGACTACACTACCAGGGACAGGTTGACCACCACCAGGGACAGGACTACCACCACAGGACTATACAGGACACTACCAGGGACAGGTTGACCACTACCAGGGGCAGGTTGACCACTACCAGGGACAGGACTACCACTACCAGGGGCAGGACGGCCACTATCAGGGACAGGACGACCACTACCAGGGACAGGTCGACCACTACCAGGGGCAGGACTACCACTACCAGGGACAGGTTGACCACTAGCAGGGACAGGTCGAACTCCTTCACCAGGGACAAGTGATACACCTTGTGTGCCAGGACCATATTGGTAGCCACTACCAGGACGACCACTGATGCCAGTAGTTGGGGAAACACCTTGGGTGGTAGAGCCAAAGCTGCTGCCAGGACGACCACCAGCACTAGTCCCAGGACGACTACCAACATCAGCAGAAGGACGAATACCAGTACTAGAGGTAGGACGACCACTACTTGGGGTGGTACCAAATGCAGTACTTGGTGAATGAACAGTACCAGCACTAGGATAAGGACGGCCACTACCAGGGACAGGTCGACCACTACCAGGGACAGGACTACCACTACCAGGGGCAGGATGACCACTACCAGGGGCAGGTTGACCACTACCAGGGGCAGGTTGACCACTACCAGGGACAGGTTGACCACTACCAGGGACAGGTTGACCACTACCAGGAAAGGTTGACCACTACCAGGGGCAGGACTATCACTACCAGGGACAGGCTGACCACTACCAGGGGCATGTTGACCACTACCAGGGACACGTTGACCACTACCAGGGACAGGTTGACCACTACCAGCATGTTGACCACTACCAGGGACACGTTGACCACTACCAGGGACAGGTTGACCACTACCAGGGATAGGTCGACCACTACCAGGGACAGGTCGACCACTACCAGGGACAGGACTATCACTACCAGGGACAGGACTACCACTACCAGGGACAGGTTGACCACTACCAGGGGCAGGACTATCTCTACCAGGGACAGGACTATCACTACCAGGAACAGGACTACCACTACCAGGGACAGGTTGACCACTACCAGGGGCATGTTGACCACTACCAGGGACACGTTGACCACTACCAGGGACAGGTCGACCACTACCAGGGACATGTTGGCGACTACCAGGGGCAGGTCGAACTCCTTCACCAGGGACAAGTGATACACCTTGTGTGCCAGGACCATATTGGTAGCCACTACCAGGACGACCACTGATGCCAGTAGTAGAGGAAACACCTTGGGTGGTAGAGCCAAAGGTGCTGCCAGGATGACTACCAGCACTAGTGCCAGGACGACCACCCTCACTAGTGCCAGGACGACCACCCGCACTAGTGCCAGGACGACCACCCGCACTAGTGCCAGGACGACCACCAGCACTAGTGCCTGGACGACCACCAGCACTAGTGCCAGGACGGCCACCAGCATCAGCAGAAGGACGAGTATCGGTACTCGAGGTAGGACGACCAGGTGTACCAGGAATGAGGGATACACTTGGTGTGGCAGGACCATACTCATACCCAGTGTTAGGAGTGCTACTGCTGCTACTAATACCAGCTACGCCCTGTGGACCAGAGCCTGCACTAACTCCGCTCTCAGATCCACCACTTCCAAATTCTTCAGGTGAAAAACTTTGACCAGCACCTGAGCCAAGCACGCTGCTTGTAGCTGTTCCACTACTGGCACTAGACGAGCCGCTGCCGCTGACGTCACTACCATGATGAATCTCATTGCTGCTGTCTGAATCTACTGGTGAACTCTGAGTACCTAAACTACCACCTGGATGATTACCAAAATCATGTGATGGACGTCTAATACTACCAGGACGACCAGCGCTGCTAGGAGTACGACTGAGTCCTTCAATAGGAATCAGTGATGAACCTTGTGTGGCAGGACCATACTCATAGCCGCTCCCAGGTCGACCACTGCTGCCAGTACCAGCAGGTACACTCTGGATGGGTGAACCAAAACCACCACCAGGAAGGCCACCAATCCCAGAACTGTGTGAGCCGTCTAGACCAGATGTAACGCCGAGGTTACTGCCAAGACGACCACCGCCGGGAGAGGCAGGACGACCACTAGAAGACCCTGAAGAACCCGTAATGCTTGAGATAGGTCCGGAAACACCGCGGGCGTCATCAGCAGGCCCAGCTCCGCCGAAAACACCGGCAACACTTGTAACTGTGCGAGACGCTTGAGGGAATTCATTGATGCCGTAGATGGTGGCGCCGGTCAGCGTCACGTCAGTCTTGCCTATTTCAGCGTTGAGGCCGTAGTACTGTTCAGCAGTGGAACAGTCAAAGTTGAACCACCAGTCACACACAAAATACTGCTGGTTGAAGATGGTGCCGTTGGGACACAGGAACGAGTTGATCCTTCCTCCTCCTTGGCAGATGTGAAACACCTTGAGGAAAAATACATTATATTAATACAATCTCGAAAGCATTTGTGTAGGCACATCAGAATGGGAAGATCATACTCAACTTAGGGGGAGCAGTAAAGAATGAAAGAAGCACACTTGTGAGTTAACCGAAATGTTGCACTAACGGGCTCGAAATTTTCATGAAAACAAAAGTAAAAGTGTGTATCAGAAAATTAACTCACCAGCCCAACACTGAATCTGTATTAGGGCATGATAACACTGAAATTCAACATGGACGATGATATAAGACTCACCTGACAGCCGGCCTCGGGGGCAGTGTCAGCGTAGTAACCAGGAAGTCGACCCAGACAGGAGAAGGCGGTGAGAGGGACAGAGGAGAGGATGGTGTAGTCCACCCCAGGAACACCGCCACCAGCAATGGCCTCCTCGAGCAGCTCTATCGGATCTTTATCAACGAGGCTAAAGATCTGCTGCCGTCGACTCTCCCCAACCAAGCTGCCCAGGATATCACCGGCGTCACCATCGTGGCCGAAGATCTGTTGGCTTCCTCTGCCACCTGATAGATTATCCACTGCATTCCCGTTGATACCATTAAGACCAAACTGTTGACTGGCACCAGGGAAGCCACTATCTCCTCCTCCAGGTAGCGGGGCGGAGGTAAGTGTTTCCTGTGCACTGGCGGGCGGTCCTTGGGCTCCCTCGGGAAACACGTAAGAGGCGCCAGCCAGCCCGAGTACAGCTACCAGAGAGATTTATGAATATGGTGTAACTAGAGTGGGACACACACACACGCGCGCACGCACACACACAAAACAGTTATAAAAATCTTGAATACACAAAGTAAGACACCTAATGCAAATAGTTTTTCCTTTAACTTTGACTTTGCATAATCAAGCTCTCACTTTCTGTCATCTACTTATGAATTAAAATTTATTTTAGAGGGATTTTTCGAAGTTTACGTTTGTAAATTGATATGTAGATATATAATAATCAATGGCTAACGTTATCCATTCAGCACAGTATAGGAGGAAAGAGTGACGGTGTGTTTAAGGATGATGAGAAATATAATTGACAGAGAAATATGTGTAAATATACTTGAAGAACCGACCCGACTACTAGAGAACATGAGAAAAAATATAAATAGGAACATGATTGAACTTAAAGAAATATGTCTTATATAATGGAGTGGTTAATAACGGGGACAGCGGCAAACTCTAAATCATTCATTTAATATGGAAACAGTTTACCTATGATGTGGGAGAAACAGGATAGGATTATAAATTTTAAAACCGAGATTAATAACAAAATGTAGGGACTGGAGCTACGTCATGATCACATACAGTCGCCTGCACTCATACCTGGTACAGTGGCTGGCGCATTTTGTGAGATATGGCAACTCTGTGGAATGCTCAAGTAGCATCCTTTAGTCTGGCTACTATTGCGAGGTTTCTTAGGACCATTTCGGGAGTTTTAATATAATGTAAACAAACACAGAGGTGCCACAGCTCACAAAACGCACCAGCTTCTGTATCAGGTGTAAGTGCAATCGACTGTACATCAAGAGCTGGTGATACAAGCGTAAACCTCTACCAAAAGGTCATCGTCTGTGAGTGACTGTGAGTGTTTGTGAGTGTCTATGAGTGTATTTGAGTGTCTTTCAGTGTCTCTGAGTGTCTTTGAGTATAAAAAAAAGATTACCAACACATTATTATGACAATATTAATAATAGAAACTCACGTATTTCTCTCATTATGTAAAGAACTTTAGTAGGCACCTCACTTGACAGTTTGGGAAGTGAAGGTGATAGAGTGCAGTGCCGACCACCCTGCCTCCTAGCATATATCGATAGCTTAATACTGTATCCACGACATCCCTATAAGACCTACTCTCACTTTCACCACACTAACCAAAGCTATCGGCGAAGATTACTATAATTCACACGACTTCCCGCCTTCAGTAAATATATAATACATTTCTTACTGTGGTTTTTCTTTCAATTTATCATCTTAATCTTCTTTTCTTGTTGTTTTCACTTCATTTGTTTCTTCTTTTTTGTTGTTCATCTTCATCGTCGTTGTTTTTTCGGTCTTCTCCTCCTCTTTTATATCTTCTTTTGCTTACTCCTCTTTCTTTTCTTCATCCACTGTTTTGTTCCTCTTCTATTCTTCTTGTTCTCCCTTTGTTTACTCTTTAAGACACACCTACGAAAGTTCTGCTAAATAAACAACGAAAACAAGACTCTTCCCGCCATAAACAACGAAAACAAGACTCTTCCCGCCATAAACAACGAAAACAAGACTCTTCCCGCCATAAACAACGAAAACAAGACTCTTCCCGCCATAAACAACGAAAACAAGACTCTTCCCGCCATAAACAACGAAAAAACAAGAAGGAAACAAAACAAGAATAAATTCCTTCTTTATACTGAATTACCCCATTAAATAAGAAGAATTAATCCCTTATTTACGAATGACTTAATCCCTTATTTACGAATGACTTAATCCCTTATTTACGAATGACTTAATCCTCTATGTACGATAATTTAACCTCTTTGATTACGATGCTTTAATCTTTTCAACACAACGATTTATTCACTTACGTAACACATTATTGTACTTAGGGGTTGCCATCGTAATCAAATGGTTAATTCATCGTACTCAATGGGTTAAGTCATCGTACTCAATGGGTTAAGACAGACAGACAGAAATAATGGCTGAATACATTTGTTATACACCATTAAAAACCAAAGAATACATAGATAGACACAGAGAGACACATAGAATGACAGACAGACAGAAGACAGAACCAGTACAATCCCTAACCATAATTACAACAAAATAATCGTACGGACAGCACCTGCACTTTTTATATATACCTGGCGTGGCGGTACAGGATGGAACACAAACTCAATGCCTTTTGAGGTCGCTCCGGGGGTTAGGTCAATTGCCTGAGTAATCACCATTTGCTTGTCACGATCTCGCTAACTCGTAACGCTGCATTATTCTCTATCACTCTTTATTAGAGAGCGTCACAGAGATTGGTGTCACGTTGTGTTTTTATATTTACTTGTTTTGTTTTTGTTTAGTGTGTTTATGTGTGTGTGTGTGTGTTTAGGCAGATGGATATGTGTGTGCGCCCGCATAAGAGACTTCCTGGAAACTCACACACGATAATTCACGTATAATTTTCAAGCACTTGGTTCATCTTCAACTTCGTAACATTCAAAGATAAAAAAAAGAAAAAACTTGAACATTCATTTCCTGTTGAGAAGAATGATAGTTTCCCTCCGTGTCAACACTATCAGGTGAACACATTCTTACCCCAGACCAACAGGTGGCCAAGCGGACGGGTCATGCCTGGGCTGAGTGCACTGTGTGGTGTGAGGGCGGGCAGGAGGGTGAAAGAGGGAGGGTTGTGGCACCGAGATGGTAGCACTGCTTGTAATGATACCCAGGTGAGGAGGCCGCCTCTTATACACGCTGCAGGAACCTCCCGACCTTCACGTGAGTAAGCCTCAACTTAATCTTTTTCACTTTTTCCCCTGACGGCATGATTGAGATGCCTCCCTCGTGTTAACGTGAGGAGTATGACAATGTAATATGCAGTATATATGTCATGCTTGTCATAATTGTCCAATTAGGGAGTCGACTGAGCCTTTAAAACGCATTAAGCGTTTTTCCCAAATAAGGATTACTTTGTCACTGCTATAAAAGACGTCGTTTACCACCATAACAAACAAAATCATAACTAAGTTAGACAACAGTTAGTTTAATAATGACACAGTTTTTACAGAAAGTTTTATTATTATTATTAGTAGTAGTAGTAGTAGTAGTATTTATATCTTTATGATCTTCCTTATTAACTGGACTAATTGAATTATATATATATATATATATATATACACCAAGTAAATCACTGTAGGTGCGCGTATCCAGGTATATATGATAACCACACACAAGAAAACAATAAAACACGAAGTTTCAAGCCAGCCAAAATCTACACTTAGGGGTAGAGTAGATATATATATATATATATATATATATATATATATATATATATATATATATATATATATATATATATTAGTGGTGGCGTATATATATATATATATATTTCATGTAAATCCACAATGAAAACGTGATAATTAAATAACGGAGCACCTAGCTTGATTAAAGACGAAAGCCAAGTACCTTGCTATGTATTTCCGTGCGTGATTCTGTCAAGATATATATATATATATTATATATATATATATATATATATATATATATATATATATATATATATATATATATATGTGTGTGTAAAATCATCAAACAGCAGGAGATCTCTGCCCGAACCACCCACCCACTCACGCCCACCCACCCATCCTACCTACCTACCACCTACTCACCTCGCCTCACCACCCACCTCGGCCCGGCACCCACCCACCCACCATAGTTCCACCCTACCTACTCATCACCTACCTGCCCACTCACCCACCCACTGCCCACCCACCCACTCCCTGCCCTACTCCCCCTCCCACGCACCCATTCTTCCCCACCCACCCACCCACTCACTAACCAACCCACCCCACTCACTTCCTCTCCCAGCCACCCACTCTCTCTCTCTCCCTCACTCACCGTCTGTCTCTCCCGCCTCTTCACTAACTTTCAGAAGTCCTTGTAATCCTCCTTCTCACAGTCATCCAGGTAATTTTCTCACCTGCCAAAGACCTTTTCTGAGTGTTTCTTTTGTAATAAGTTTTGTTCTCCCTTAACTGAGTATATTTCAAGTGGATTTTATTTGACTATACCTTTGTTAGATTTTGTTAAGGGTAATGATGTGTTTTTTGTGATTTTGTTAAGGGTAGTAATGATGTTTTTGTTATTTTGTTAAGGATAATGAAATGAAAAAAAAAGGAACATCGACAAAGAGAGACGTGAGAAAGAGAGAAACACAGAGAGGAAGAGAGAGAGTGAAAGTAAGTGAAGTAAGAGGAGAGATGATGAAAACTGACATTAAGTATAAAAGTAAATGGGGAAGAGACAAAGGAGAAAGATAAAATTCGAACAAGTGGGGGACAGTTATAGTGTGTGTGTGTGTGTGCGTGCGTGCGTGTGTGTGTGTGTGTGTGTGTGTGTGTGTGTGTGTGTGTGTGTGTGTGTGTGTGGTACATCTGGTGTTATTTGGTATGATGCTTTTTAATCTTTGAAGACGATAATTTCATTCCTGCAACCTATGAAGACGTCGAGGTAACCTTAAAGACTTTGGCTAATGGTCAGGCTAACGTCTTAAGGTGTCAAGTCTTCGTCTTCAAGGGCTTAAGTTGTCCTCAAAGGGTCGAATCATCGTCTTCAAGGGGTTAAGTTGTCCCCAAAGGGTCGAATCATCGTCTTCAAGGGGTTAAGTTGTCCCCAAAGGGTCGAATCATCGTCTTCAAGGGCTTAAGTTGTCCTCAAAGGGTCGAATCATCGTCTTCAAGGGGTTAAGTTGTCCCCAAAGGGTCGAATCATCGTCTTCAAGGGGTTAAGTTGTCCCCAAAGGGTCAAATCATCATTTTTAAGGAGTTCTATCGTCGTCTACAAGCGGCTAAGTTAAACAACAAGCAGAATGTAAGGTGAACCTCAGAGGATGTCACTATAACACCGCCTGCTCGGATATAATCATCCGGGAAGAAGCCAGATCTAACTGCACTCGTGAAAAATTTGTACCCTTGAGAGACAAATGCCACGATGATACGGCTTACATATCATCTCCTAGGTTCCTTGTTTCTCATGCAGACAACCTGATCCAATGTTACCATCTTTGCTTGCGTGTTGGTTCATTGTGATTCACTCTAACTGAAGAACTTTCTCTCTCTCTCTCTTTTGACACAGTCTCGTTTGATTCTTAAGAGGCTTTGTGTGTTACTTTTATTTCTCTCGTGATTCTTGCTGTCGTGGTTAATGGTTGAATAGTGTTGTAAAAGGATCCGTATTTGGCAATCCACTTTGTCCTTAGGGAACCAGACAGTTAACGGAGGAGTGTGTAGAGTATGTTAGTGATGAGAAGAGAAGCATGATCATGATTCTCTGTAAAAAAAAAAGACAATTTATATTTTCAAGTTATGTGTTGAGAGCTTCAGTTATATATATACATATATTATGTGTATGGAATCACCCCCCGGGACCGAAATATTTGTTCTCACATAAAATTACTTTTACTAGAGAACGGAACGGGACTACTTAACACCTACGAGTTACAGCTATTATCTGTGGTCGTAATTACCTTAGTGTCTCACCCTGTGGCAATATTCTCGCTTACCCGCTCGGAGAAAATGATTATTGAGCCATATTTATGATTTCGTCAGTTGTACCTGCTGTGTCACGTTGTGGGTGTGTTAGTTTGTTAACACTCTGACATCCCCAATTATGAACGGAACTTTACGACATTTTCACAGTTAATCGATTAAATTAACAGCGAGACACTGACATAATTTGGTCAAAATCGGTCAAAGGTCAACATCAAGGTCACCGACAAAGTTCACCGAAATGAAATTAGCAAATACAGAACTAATGAGTGAGAGGAACAATATAATGTGTTCAGCCTATCAGATCACCTTATTACACACACACTGTATGAAGACCTTACAACACCATGATGATACTCTAACACCTTCAGTACAATAACTTACCTCCTCAGTTCCTGTGACCGTCGTGTTTCAAGGGTTAACATTTTGATTGGCTTATAACTGCCAATGTTACCGTGACATTAACACCTGTAGTTATGTTAGCTATCTATAGATTTTGTTTCTTACTTGTCATAGAATAAAGTTTACAAGAGAGAAGGTAAGAGAGAGAGAGAGAGAGAGAGAGAGAGAGAGAGAGAGAGAGAGAGAGAGGTCAGGTTATATTATACCTGTTCTTCACATCATAAATAATATGCCTGAGAGAATATCACCACCACCCTGCACCTGTCTTATCAATATAAACTCTCCCTTATAATCTCTTTATCTTCTCCGATGGACATAAGAGACAGACGATAACTCACGGGGTAAAGACAAACGCGGAGGAAATGAAACTCTTTTGTATATATGATAAACTCTTACCAGACTTGGGCTCCGTCAGGGGACTTAAAAGAAGAATTAATATCTTCTTTGCTGTGCTGTTGTGGGTCTTTGTATTCTCTGTAAGGATTTTGACTCCATTATTATTATTATCGTCATGTACAAGTATAACAGAACCTGAGTCACTAGCAAGGAAACATGTTCCCTCGCCATGTCCGTATACAACGAATGGTATTGCAACATCATGATTGTACTGTAGGGATGAAATAAGAATTCAGCACAGCATATATAGAAATTAACAGAATCCCCCGCTGATGCAATCTGACAAAATATATGTAATTCGTGAGTCGGTATTTTCTTTTTCTTGAGGACGCGAGAGTCTTCCTTCACACAGCCTCCAGCGGGAGATGTTTCACGCCTGGTGATCACTATGTCAGGTCAAGGCCTGGCGGGGCTCCAGCCACCAGGGGATCCACCCACCTACTTTTGTGTGGCTAATTGTGTACCATACCAGTGTGTGTTTTGTCATAGTGCGGGGATATATTTATATGTACTTGTTCACATATTGCCTTCACTTCATTACTATATATATATATATATATATATATATATATATATATATATATATATATATATATATATATATATATATATATATATATATATATATATTTATTTATTTATTTATTTATTTATTTATTATATATACAGTATATATATAAACAATCTTATTAACCACCAACTTTATGATTCTTAAAGACAGTGTTCAGTTAATAGTGTGTTCCTATATAAACCTGGTGCTCATGTACACAAGGTCAGGCGGTAAATATATTATATCTCTGCCTTACTGACGCGTTGTTTAGAACCAGTTTGGAAACGAAATTAATATACAGATTCTTTCAACATTTATTTTGTCGCGGGAACTCTTCTTTAAGACCAAAGGCACACAATAAACGTCTTATCCACCCACACACTCATACACCCACCCACCCACACACGCATCCACCCACACACTCATCCACCCACACCCACCCACACACCCACCCTACCTGACATGCCCAGTTAACCTTATCATAAGTTAATAATAACAGACATCCTTGTGCTTCCTCTTATTGTTTTACCTGTCTCACCTATGACATTACCTACACTGTGAATGACTCGGCTCCTTTTTGCCTTACCTGCGTCACCCATTAACTCCTTTACCTCCATTAATAGCTCTTAATTGTGAGCTATAAAGACATAAACACCAACCATGAGGTATTTACAGGCGTCAGAAGGTCGAGAATGTTCACCGTAAACAAAAGCCTTAAATTAACAATGACGTCTATATATTTATTTTTACTTAAAGGAAGATGATGTTATACCTCTTACTAACTTTTGCTGAGTCACTTTCATACTCAGGAGTGTCTCTTTAATGGATAATATGGGAGAGTATATTCTGTTATATCGAGGTTCGTTATATTTGAAACACACACACACACACACACACACACACACACACAGAGAGAGAGAGAGAGAGAGAGAGAGAGAGAGAGAGAGAGAGAGGTCCATTTGATGTGAAACCTCTGTATAACGGACTATACCCGTTAGAATGATGTCCGTTAAATGGAGGTTTAACTTTACACTGCCTTATGGATTAACAGGAAATAGCGTCAATACTTTTAATTAACAACATAAGTGAAGACAGTGATGTGATATAAACATTCACGTGTTATGAAAGTCTTCTGTGTGGTAGTGTGGATACGACTTTAAGACACTCTGTATAATGCTGGGTGGGAGGGAGGAGGGAGGTAGAGAAGGAAGGGGGAAGAAGGAAGAAGGAGGAAGGACAGGTAAATGAAGGAAGGAGGAGGGAGGAGATAGGGGGACAGAATATAGGAGGAAAGAGTAGAAGGAGGAGGAAGGAGGTTGAAAGAGAGAAGAATAAAGGGAGGAGGAAGGAGGAGATAGGAGGAAACAAGGAAAAAGAGGAGGATGAGAAGAAGGATGAAAGAGAGAAGAATAAAGGTAGGAGGAGGGAGGAGATAGGAGGAAACAAGGAAAAAGAAGAGGAGGAGGAGGAGGAGGAGAAGAAGGATGATGGAGAGAAGAATAAAGGAAGGAGGAGGTAGGAGATAGGAGGGAAGGAGAAAAGCCTAACACGGTCCAAATAACCTTAAAAACCCAAACAAATTTGGGGTAAATAAACAACTTATTGAGAGGATGATTTAATTCAATTATCTCCGTGTTGTATTGCCACGTTACTGCTAGACAATCCTCAATTATCACTGGATGTGTTACGTTAAATTCAGATAACAATTGTTAATATTTATGTTGATAATTTGGTTCGGGAAATATAATACACCTTCATTATATCTATTAGGTTTTTTTTTTTTTTTTAGAAATTGTTTATTTTGCAATGTGGTCGTCAAGCATGTTGGTAATTTTGCAAAATAACTTGTAAATTGATTAGGTTAGGTTAGCCTGTTTGCAAGTTATTTTGCAAAATTATCAACGTGTTTGCCGATCATTTTGCAAAATAACCGTGTGTGTGTGTGTGACACTACTTAATTCACTTTCTTGACACCAAAAAACAATCTATTTGGCGGGAGTGTGGTAGAGCTGAGTGGGAGGCTGGAGGTTGTAGCCGCCTGGCCCCTTGACGCCCGCCCCCTGCCCGTCAACCCCACCAGCTCCCCTGCTGCTGAAGTCGCTAGTGGTTGCACTGCCTTGAACGTCGCTCCCTGGGGCAAGAATGATGTCCTGGAGTACCGAAGGAGAGGCGAAGCCATTATCTCCACCAGCCTGGCTTCCTGGGGCTCCACCGAAGACCGGGGAACTTCCAAAATTGTTACCGTTGGGGAAAGTACCAAAGGTGCCTTGAGATGCCAAAGGAAGAGTAAATCTAATTAAGTTCTCCTCAGTCCTGGTTCTTGGGCCTCCACTGAAAGCCGAAGAACTGCCAAAAGTACCCCCGCTGTTGGCTGAACCACCGAGGCCGCCTGACAGGATCGAAGAGACTGATCCACCGTTGTTTTCACTCAGCTTGATTTTGCCCAGTTCTTCGTTAAGGCTGTAGAACCTCCGGGACTTAGCACAGTCGACGTTGTCCCAGTTGTCACACACGAAGTACTGCTGGTTGAAGATGGTGCCGTTGGGACACAGGAAGGAGTCTCTCTGGCCTCCTTCTTGGCAGATGTGGAACACCTGAGGGTGATAAAGGTGAAGAGAATGGCTGGAACATTCCGAAGGTATGAAATATTTATAAGATATACTGAACACACAAGCATAGTGGGAACACTGGTACCAACTAAACCCTCCGTGTATCACATTGCCTCTAAGTCAGAAATGTATAAATTTTGTGTCTGTTTGCTTTCATGGACAAAAAGTAACCTCGTTCCAATCGTATTCTTATTTTTAAAAGTATGAAGAAACTGCGGACCAATATATAGGTTTTATATTGTGTGATTTTTTTTCTCTGAAACTTGAATATAAGTCATGTTACAGACACATGTATAGCCGTCAAGGTTTCTTCCCACAAAATTTCAAAATGATCGGGACTGAAAAGAAGGAACGTTTTGACCGTAAATTGAGGATATTTGCAAGTGTTCCTATTTAAAACAATACGACTTACGGCAGCGTCACAGCCTCGAGAAGTGTTTATAAATCTTTTCTACATATTGTATTTGCTAAAGACATCCATCGAGGGAAAAAATGGCTACCTTCTGTTCACTGTGCCTACTGTCTCGCGGGAGGCTGACAGGCTGATCACAACACCCCGTCAACCAGAAAAGCAACACAAATTTTACGGTGTATTTTGACGGAAGTGTCAGATGGACTGTCGAGTGACTACATCTAGACTAGAGTGATACAGAATACATGGAGCAGTCATACTTACACCAGCCACTTATGCTTAGACGTGTACTCGACAGCCGTTCTCTGGTTATTATAGAAACAGTCCAAACAACATTCCGTATATAACTCACCTGACAGCCAGCGACGGGGGCAGTGTCAGCATAGTAGCCTGGGACACGACGCTTACACCTAAACACCGTGAATGGGACAGACGCCAGGATGGGGTAGTCCTTCCCAGGGACACCTCGAATGGTGTAACTCGAATCAGCAAGATTTCTGGAGAAACTGGAGAAGCGGTCGTTGCTTCGCAGCTTAGCAGCGCTGGTGGCCCCACCCAGAAGAGCTGAGGAGGTTTTAAATACGGAAGGACCAAAGAAGATGAAACGGTACTATAGATGCAGACAAGTTCCCGTAGGAATAAAACCAACGTCATAGTTATATAGTCGTTGTTATACAAGTAATTACGAAAAGTATAACCAAATTATAGAAGAGAGTTATAGTATTCGATGTAAAAAATATCTTACGGCCGTTTACGTTTCAGTTCAGTATAGTGTACTTACCCACCACCACCACCAGGATCTTAGGGGATACACTCGCCATCTTCAAGACTACTGACGACTCTCTGGAACTCCTGAGACAGTGTTGACGATGCAGACTGTAGCAGGTGACGGCTGGTGACCTGGTGGTGGTGCCCTGTTATATATATACCAGGGATTGATAACGATCACCACCTACACACGCACACAGCTTCAAGGTTAGTTAGGATATAAACTCTATGATCGTCAAAATGCTATACATTTTTACAAATTCACATTTCGAATCGACGTATTTCAATTTCCTACACTAAATCCTCGAGCAGGTCAAGTTAGGCTATCTGAGGTAAGGGTTTATCAAATCTATTCGTGCATTATTATCTTTAAAATCATTTAAGATATTATCCAATATAGTACAGCTCTACGCGCCCACTATTTCAAGCCATGGTCCGGGTAAATATCCCTCAATAATAATCAGTTCAGGCGTCCTTGGTCACGACACAATGTGAACGACAACACGAAAATAAAAGGAGCGGGAAACTGAACCCAGAAATAGACATAGTGTAATACTGTGATACACTCCCGGATACTCGGACACTTCCCACGATCTACCTCATGTTTCTTGGTCCACACATATTAGAGTCATGTCTCGACCTATTGTAAATTTGCAGGACGAATGTGTTATTATTATTATTATTATTATTATTATTATTATTATTATTATTATTATTATTATTATTATGGCAGGAGGTTGAAATCCTCTTCTATTTGAATGGGTGAGTTCTTCTAATTAAATATGATCATTTTCTCTTCACTAAAATGTTTGTAATTAATATAAAACGCATCGCGCTGTGCAGATGTTGAGTTCTCACGGTGGGCGAGGAGAGTTGAGACGTGTTGAAGAACCAGGAAGACTTATCATCGGTAGTAGTCGCGGTCGTGTTCTGTGTGCAGGAAGTCATTGATAAGGATTTACACTGATGGAAGTTTAAAGAAGTTCTAACGAAAGAAAAAACATTAAAACAAAAAACATAGGAACTCCAAACAATTAATTTTGTTCAAGAGAAATATTGAATTATAGTTCTTTAGTAAAATTATAGGTAACGAAAGTATTTTCAAGTCGTTATTTGTACAGTGAAATCCCTAAAGCCTCTGAATATTGAAATAAAGATTTACTGAATATTTACAGCTAAGTAGAAGACCTCATTTGTGTTTACGAGGAAAAAAAGTTTATCCAGTGAAGACGCACGACCTCTGAATGACCACAGATAAGGGGGAACTACTCCAGACCTTGATAGACGCGTGACCACCTACTCCCTCACGAGTTAAGACTACAGTATAGCTGAAAAAATACCTTTATTTTCTCATTACATGACAGAAAAGATTGAAGGCCAGAATTTTTTTTTTCTCTCTGTCACTTTTACTTGTGAATTAGTAAATTATTTTACACAGAAGCTATATTTTTCTTGTAATATATTTGATGTTATTGTTTTGTTTTTTGTTTTTTGATGTGTTTATAATTCAGAGATACTGCTAAAGGGTTGTATTAGGAGTTTAGAGCTGGTACGATGCTGTGATCTTTGATGTATTGTAGCTCTTTAACCCTGTAGGATCTGTAGATGTATAATAATGACTGATAGTTATAATTATTTACAAAAAACGCCCATTCGTCATTCAGAGGCAAATTATTGTACATTCTCCTAACTTCCGTGAATCATTCTAGCTGGGAGATCACTGTTTCATCATTAATAATACACACAACCATTTTTAGGACTATTACTGATATTAAAACACTTTCTGGTATTCACACTGTTATTTATGAGGTATTAGCTGTTTTATGTAGTAGTATAGGTGTGAGTGTGTGTCTGGTCTTGTTCACTGTCGCCATTCTTCATGTTTCTGTGGCAACTCCAGTATTTATACTTATATTATTCAATGAAATAAGTATATGTCTTCTCGTCCGTACGTGTGTAGGGGTCTGAATATGCGTGTGGGTTTATCCATAACGTGTGTAAGTGTTTGGACATGCGTGTGGGTATAACCATAACGTGTGTATGCTGTAAACTATATAGAGAACTTCTGCATGAAATTCTTTTAAATTACTGATGATGATCGTTCCCGGCGCACGACCCCACAGCCGTTTGACCCAGCACTTGTGAGTCTCATTGTGCGGTAAGGTCAACACTGCACCTACAGGTATACTGAGGTCACGAACACACAGACTCATCCTCAACAGACTTCCCAAAATTATATCTTAACAGTGTCAGTTGGCTGTTACATTACCCCGTTGAAGCTGTCTGTCTCTCTGTCTGGTAAATTTATCATATATCTTAATTATTGACGAAATAGCATAAAAGATTTTAACATGAACGATATGAATTTGTTAAATAGTAAGATAAACAAGTTAATGTTTTTGCTTACGGTCCATAAAACAGAGTTAACATTGTAATGGTCGGTATAATGAGTGAGTTATACCACAGATAGATCGTAAAACGTGTGTGTGTGTGTGTGTGTGTGTGTGTGTGTGTGTGTGTGTGTGTGTGTGTGTGTGTGTGTGTGTGTGTGTGTGTGTGTGTGTGTGTGTGTCACGCTTACTAGAGATAATCGCTGATTAAGCATTGAAAAGTAACTAACTTTTTTTTATATAATAGGAATATATATATATATATATATATATATATATATATATATATATATATATATATATATATATATATATATATATATATATATATTACTATAACTTGGGCAAAATTAATTGTGTTGCTCTGTTTAATTAAAGATCCCTCCGACCCTCACCCTCCTCTCCCCTCATCCCCCTTTCCTCACCCCTCTCCCCCTGCTTCTCCCCTTTCCTCACCCCCTCTCCCTGCTTCTCCCTTTCCTCCACCCTCTCCCCTAGCTTCTCCCTTTCCTCACCCCTCTCCCCCTGCTTCTCCTTTCTCACCCTCTCCCCTGCTTTCCCTTTTCCTCACCCTCTCCCCCTCAGCTTCTCCCCTTTCCTCCACCTCTCCCCCTGCTTCTTCCCTTCCTCACCCCCCTCCTCTGCTTCTCCTTTCCTCACCCCCCCCCCTAGCTTCTTCCCTTCCTCTTACTCCCTCCCTCTTTTGTCCCTTTCCTCCACCCCCTCCCCTGCTTCTTCCCTTTCCTCACCCTCTCCCCTGCTTCTCTCACTTCTCCTCACCCCTCTCCCCTCTTCTTCCTTTCCTCACCCCCCCTCCCTCTGCTTCTCCCCTTTCCTCCACCCCCCTTCATCCCTTCATCGAATCCCGCCCATTCAAAGACTTGCTATCCTTCCCATACATCACAATCCTTCCTCTCTTTCCTTCCCTCTCTCCCTATCCCCTTCACCTCTCCCCTTGTATTAAAATAAGAAAGAAATGAAACCACGGACACGAAACTATCAAAGATCTCTACCAAAACAGAAATAACGTTCCACATTCTTCTCTATTTTTTTACTCGTTTTTAATTTAGCTTCAGTTGATGGAAGGGTGAGGAACTTTCCGTTGAAAATGTATAATTTGGCTCCGCCGTCACAATCGGTATACATACAGTACAGTAAGTTGTATCTACATCGATACCTCGCTGGGATCTGTCACGATTTCTTCGCTATGGACATAAAGGACGAAGGCCACCTCCTCAGTCTCCAGCAAACATCGGGCAGTATATTGTGCTGTGCTTTGGTACCCCCCCCCCTCCACCCTCTGACTCTCACGCCGGGGTAAAGATGACTAGCGCCGACAAGTTTACTCCCACCGGCAACAGTTTTACTCACCGATAGCCTTTCGAACTAACGGTGAGATCGTATGAGCTGAAACACACCCATTATTGATTTGCTTCAGAAGACGGGGTGCAGGGCTGGGATTTTCACATAAGTCAATGGGTGGAAAATCACCACATCGACGATGGGCGTGGTTGGCGGGCATGGTTGACGGGCGTGGTTGACACCGTCTTCAGGGTAGTAACCACGTCCCCGCGGAGCCCGTACATTAGTATTCCATTATTAGTAACAATATGTTTTTATCTTGAAAATAAGAGAATTAACTGATGTATAAAAATAAATGTTACAAAAATATTAATACTTGGTGTGTGGGGTGGCTGGGTGTGTGGGGTGGCTGGAGTGTGGCAGGTGTGTGGGGTGGCTGGGGAGTGTGTGTGGGATGGCTGGGTGTGTGGGGTGGTAGGGGTATGTGGGGTGGCTGGGTGTGTGGGGTGGCTGGGTGTGTGGGGTGGCTGGGTGTGGGGTGGCTGGGGTGTGTGGGATGGCTGGGTGTGTGGGGTGGTAGGGTATGGGTGGCTGGGTGTGTGGGTGGCTGGGTGTGTGGGGTGGCTGGGTGTGTGGGGTGGCTGGGTGTGTGGGGGTGGCTGGTGTGGGTGGCTGGGTGTGTGGGGTGGCTGGGTGTGTGGGGTGGCTGGGTGTGTGGGGTGGTAGGGGTATGTGGGAGTAGCTGGGTGTGTGGGGCGGTAGGGGTGAGTGGGGTGGTAGGGGTATGTGGGGTGGCTGGGTGTGTGGGGCGGTAGGGGTAGGTGGGGTGGCAGGGTGTGTGGGGTGGCTGGGTGTGTGTGGGGTGGCTGGGTGTGTGGGGTGTGGGGGGTGTGGGATGGCTGGGTGTGTGGGGTGGCTGGGTGTGTGGGGTGGCTGTGGGTGTGGGGTGGCTGGGTGTGTGGGGTGGTAGGGGTGTGTGGGGTAGCTGGGTGTGTGTGGGGCAGTGGGGTAGGTGGGGTGGTAGGGGTATGTGGGGTGGCTGGGTGTGTGGGGCGGTAGGGGTGGGTGGGTGGCGTGTGGGGTGGCTGGGTGTGTGGGGTGGCTGGGTGTGTGTGTGGGGCAGTAGGGGTAGGTGGGGTGGCTGGGTGTGTGGGTGTGGCCGGTGTGTGAGGTGTCAGGGTTGTGTGGGATGGCTGGGTGTGTGGGGCGGTAGGAGTATGTGGGGTGGCTGGGGTGTGTGGGGTGGCTGGGTGTGTGTGGGGTGGTAGGGGTATGTGGGATGGCTGGGTGTGTGGGGTGCAAAGGTAGGCAGTGGTAGATTGCAGGGAATGTAATCTGTAATTGGGGTGTGTGTGTGTGTGTGTGTGTGTGTGTGTGTGCGCGCGTGATTACATGAAAGTGTATACTGTATACACAACAACTCACATGTCCGTGTATATATAATAGCTAGTATATATATGTTAGTCTCTGTGTGTCAACAGGAGAGTCGCTTCAGTAAAAACGATAATGTGTATGAATGCTGCCGTGGTGTCCCTCTCACTGCCGCAACAACACAGTTTCCTAACACAGAGCTCTCACTTCCGGTACGATGATCAGACTATAATGTGACAGAGTTAAGAACCGGTTAGAGATGCTCATATATACTCATAAAACTAACGCATTACCTTTCAGAAATACATTACATCTGGTTTTATTTCTACATAGTGTGTTAAGACTTGAAGACACATCATGGTAGTGCCTTACCTTTCAATGTACAGTATGTTATGATAGATTCATTCATAAATACAGGTTAGTAGACATAGCGGTACTGTAACCTAGTTTGAGTTAATACTACATTATGAATAGTCGTTGGTTGCGATATCTTCCTCACTTGCCGCCTTCCTCTTACCACCCATAAACTTGAGGTTATGGTTTGATACATTTCCATTATTATCATTAAACAGGTTACTAACAAGGTGGGTCTTTGTCGTACTCCACAGAAAACTAATTTGTGCTTTCCATTCGTAGTCCTGCGTTAATACAATCCAATGTTTTTTTTTCAAGCTTGTGTAACTATCTAACGCTTCAGAAAAAAACCCATAAGTAACGAATCCAACGCAACCAGTAACAAGCCTTAGCCAGTGGAGTCTATTAAAGTTTAAAGGAATGTGAATAAACTTAACAAGATTTCCTCACCAAGAAACCAATTTATGATGCGTTGATGCCACTTAACTGTGGTTATCGAACGCTAAAAGAAAAAAAAAAGGCAATTGGACTTTCAAGAGAGAGAACGAAAAAAATTATATGCTTCCATGTTTATATAGTTTCCAAGTATTTCCTGTGACTTCAGGGAGTTGTAATATTTGTGTGCGATTCTGTTTTTGCTTACTTGTTATTTTGATTGTTTGCGGTTACCTGGACGTTTTTCTTTGAGGAGGGGAGGGGAGGGGTGGTAATGGTGGGTGATGGGGATGGAATGTTGGTTGGTGGGGGCTAATATTTTACCTGCTGGGTAGGCCGAGGTGGAGTTAAACTTGAAATCTTCCCGGGCTTTCGCAAAATTTTACATATTGGCCAATCAAAGAGCTTTATTCATCGACCTTTCAAAGAGCTAGGCGTGAACTCGTCAAGGAGGATTAATGAGAGGAATAAAAGTTAGAAATATATGAGGAAATAGAGAGGGAGGGAAAGTAGAATGATAAAGAGGGGAAAGAGGAAGAGTAGGATAAAAAGTTAATAAAGGATAGGATGATAGAGAGGAGGGTGGAAGAGAAAGACGAACAGTGGAAACATTGAATAGAGTTATAGTATCGGAAGTCAAAAATGTATACCATAAGAACTACACTGCCTTGATTCGCTGTTGAGTGAAGCACGAGGTCTGTCAACACTCTTTAAAAACGGCCGCGTCACTCCAAACAAGGAAGCAGGTGATAGCGTTACGACATTGAAACGTGAAACACTTGAGGCTACAGACAAAATTACTTGTTAAGACTTCAGTAATTCAGTCTTATCGCCGTAACGTTGTGGTATCGTAACGCCGCTTCGTATGACAGAGGATAGCATTTACGATAACAGAACATTAACGATTTGGGAGATACCTAACCTTACTTAACCTATCGTAACCTAATTTAAACATCGCTAATCCTAACCTAACCTGATCCACATACTAAGACAAGTCCTAAGCGCACTCCATCACCTTCACGGAAGTTTGTCATTACGGTCAATTCCTTATTCACCTTTGATGATGACATTTGTGTATAGCTGATTTTTATTATTATTACAGTAATTTGAGGATAATGATAATAAAATTCAACAGTAGTAACTAGTATGTCGTTATATTTTGCCCGATAAATTAACAGGCTGTATTTTTTTTAATATTTAACAGTAGTGCATTTTTATTTGTATTTCTTATAGATTAAACCTTAGTACTTTTATTGTCGCTTTATTTCCCTTATAAATTTTAAAAAAATGCATAATTTGAATGGTTCCAGCAGTTTTATTTCTTTCGGGTAGGAGGCCTTCAGGACACACGATCTTGACTCATTTTACCACTCCACTGTTGCCTCTAAGTGCCAGTAAGTGATAGACGAGAGGTGTGGCACTGTCATTTACCTGGCAGTGTCCTCCAGGGAGCACTTAGCCTACCGCCTACAGACTTGCTTTATCATCTAATATTATCATTACTCAGGACGACAGACACTTACCTTCGCCATTCTAAAATAATAATAATAAAAAAAAACAGTCAATTTGAGCAATTCATTTTGGAAATTGTACACCAAAAATGCATGTTGTAGTTGCGAAAGTAACAGTGAAGGAAGGAAGAAAGAATGGTGGAAGGAAGTTCGTCGGAAAGTAACGATCTGGTATAAGTTAAACTGGTATCTTGTTCCTTAACTTAAACTATCATCCTGTTCCTTCACTCAAACAATTTATAAGCAGGTGATATAACTCGGAACTAATCTCTTGAATACGATGATTTAAACCCTCGAGTATGATGACTAAATCTCTCACGTACGATAACTTGATCACTACAATCTCTCTCTCTCTCTCTCTCTCTCTCTCTCTCTCTCTCTCTCCTGCTGTTAATAAAACTGATTTGATTTGTTTACTTCTCATCATTGTTTACTTCTCATCATTGTTTACTTCACATCATCACATACACCTACACAAATTCTAAAAAAAAAATAGATTGATTTACTTTTGTTTTTACTCTACCATAAATATTAAAAATTTTCATCCCTTTCTCCGTCACTGAGGTCACAGTTTTATAGTTTGTGATGTTTATTGACTCAGGTTCAGAAAGTCTTAGCATGTCTTTCGTGATCGACTTATTGGATCATTGAGATTTTTTTCCCCTCGCCAGGTTATGCAGTGCTACCAGACCGTACAGTATAATTCGCACCACTTCCTGATCGCCCTTGCTTAGATGTTTCTTTTGTTACTGTGAGTACTATTTTGGTATCCCAGTAACTGTTTAAGTTTAACTTTATTTAATCCTCTTCGCCACTGATCGGAACTGTTAGTCGCTTGGGTGGTTGGTCACGTCTCTGTTACGCACTGTTGGCAAATACTGGGCATGTACTGGACTCCAGGATGTGTCTGCACCTGCGTTAGTGTTGGTCAAGTCTGGTCTTGAATGATCTCACACTCGGTGCCGTCACAACAAGGTCAGAGGTCAAAGTCAGATGTGATGATCATAGTTGGACGTCAAATGTGAGTCTGTGGACCAAATGTAATAAAAGTTACGAGACAGATTGAGTTTTGATCACTAATGGATTCACCATTATTGACCAAAACTTATATTACTTTTTGAATAAGTTCACTTAAGGTCAAGGATCTAATTCCTTGACGAAATAAATCGGTAACAAGAGGAACCAATGTTGATTAGAACCTGTAGTGAGACTGAAGGGTTAACACACACACACACACATCAACATATTACTCTTTAGTAGTGCGAGAAGTGATTCATTAGTACCGTTATATAAACTTACACAGTTTTGCTAAGTTAAGGCGCAGTATTAGTGTCCAACAGGCCAGGAACTCAGCAAAAGGACCACAGAAATATAACATTGTTACGGGCATGTGTTCCAAGTTCCGAGGGAAAGTTATTTATTCCCAGTTTCATCAATTAACTGCAGATTGACTTAGTTAAATAAGAGTAATACTCAGGAAGTCTGCCACTGCTAGATGACAACAATGGCAGTTAGTTATTAACATGACTATTAAATTCGGGGGGAAGGGAAAGTCGGTTTAGGTGTTGGTAATATCCGATATAATATCCGATACAGTACTTTGTCATATTCCCCTCTCCTTATGTTGCCATTACCTTTAAGAAATATTTATGGGGGTCATTTCAGCAGGTAATCGTTGATTTTTAGAAACGCTATTGTTGTCGTCGTTAGTAGAGAGAGAGATATGCGTCAGTTTACCTTTCACCTGGGGAAGTATATAACACGCCGGAACCCACTGACCATCACCACACACTCGTCCTCAACACACACTCGGGAAGGTGATCACTTTCTTGACTGCTCCTCACACCACAACAGCGTCCAACCCATACATTATGGCCGGTGCTGTGTCCGTAGCCTTGATCCTGGGTAAGATGGCGACAACTATACATAAGTCAACTCTTGTTTCTGAAATAAATGAATGAAAAAAAAATCGTAAAATTTATCAAGTTGCTGGGCTAGTTACGAACAGCCATTTTGATTTTTTATAAACGTCCTCTCCCCCAGCAGTGGTAGTTGCCATAACAACCAGCTTCCGTCTTATGGCTGGTGAACACAGGCAGGCGATCTCGTTGTCCTCCTCAGCCACTCTCAGCTCCCCTACAGAACACAGCGTCTTGGAGGCCCCGGATTTCTCTGGTCATATCGTTAAGCGACAGGTGGACCCTAACTTTACGTGTCTCGAACGGATCCCTGGGTACTATGCTGATCCCGCCTTTGACTGCCAGGTGAGTCTTACACAGTGTTGATGTTTCGCGCCATCAGGAGAAGATATTACCCCAAGACCTGATGTTGTTTGATACCTGGCAGGTGTAACATCATTAATATAAACATCATAAGTCTGTATCAGGCCATTGTTGGATGAGGGTTTACCTTTACGCTGTCTTAGTCTTTTTCGAGTCGTCTTTGCTGAATGATCCCCTCCGGACTTGCTGATTTCATTAATCCACCTCATAATTATCGGGATTTTGTCTCGTATTTTCTTGCTGTAAGTCTCCTTAGGACCAGCTAAGGGTTTCCTCATTGCAATGTTGTTTAGTTGTTGTTGCAGTATGCTCCGTGCACCGCCTTTCCTAAGTTAACAAATAATACAACCGCGTTTTCTCTCTCTTTATTTCAAGGTATTTCACGTCTGTGTAACTGAATCCCTGATGTACTCCTTCATGTGTCCCAACTTAACTGCCTTCAACCAGCAATACTTCGTGTGTGACCACATCTTCAACGTCGATTGTGCCTCCGCCGAGCAACTCTACAACTTGAACGAGCAGCTGGGCGATGAGGAACAGGAGTTTACTGGAAGATAAAGTTGTGTTTCTCAGCCTGTGATGACGCAAGATAAAGTGTGGGATATGATGGTGTTGTGGGCAGAGTCACTACATTGGTCAGAAAGGTACAGTGGTCAGGGGGTACAATGGTCAGAGGGGTACAATGGTCAGAGGGGTACAATGGTCAGAGGGGTACAGTGGTCAGAGGGGTACAGTGGTCAGAGGGGTACAATGGTCAGAGGGGTACAATGGTCAGAGGGGTACAGTGGTCAGAGGGGTACAGTGGTCAGGGGGTACAATGGTCAGAGGGGTACAGTGGTCAGAGGGGTACAGTGGTCAGGGGCATACAGTGGTCAGGAGGTACAGTAGTCAAATGAAATTCATAGCTTAAAGTGTTAACAGAGCCAGGAACTTACGTACTCTTGTGACTTATCCCCCCCAAGATGCTCGTACACAAACAATTACCTCTTTCATTGTTTCTTTGTTATTTGTTTTGAGTTGGTTGTTATTTGTTCTATTGTTAGTAGCGGGTGTTAGCTTTTGTTACCTTCATGCCATTGTTTATATTTTGTTAGCTAATGTTTTTCAATATTTTTGTTAGGTTTCTTTAGTAGTTTCCCTTATCATTATATAGTACAGAAGAATATGCTGAACACCTATCACAAATGTGTGTGTTTGAGTGTTTGTGGTCTAATCAATACAGGTATCTGTAAAATGTAAGTTGAAAAACAATATCATCGTCAAGAAAAACCAGATTTTAAGTGGTTATATTATTAAAACATTGGCACTCCTTTTCGATGATTCTGTACGATTCCTCCAAAAATATCCTCAAGAGATAATTGCTTTTCTATTTTAAAAGCTTGTTATTGTTTGTATCTGCAGTAAATAAAAACAAAATATATGAAAATATGTCTTTTCATCTTGTGGCTGGAGCAACACCAGATTGAGTCAACTGAGTCCCTGCCTCTGCAATACTCTTGTTAAACAGTGGGATGTGGTTAATTTTGTAAGATAAAAAGATCTAAGAATTTTTGTCTAATATATATGGTTATAATCTCTTTGTTATAATAGCAAGGCTTTATATTTTAGATAAGTTAGCGAAGAAAAGGCAAGAAAATACTCGAGCTCATCTACTTACACTGAAAAAAAAATCGGAGATAGTTTAGCCTCTGTATGTAAGAGTACTTTGAGTAGTACCGGCCCCTCTAAAACAGGTATTCACGCAAACTAAATTGATGAGGCAAATTAAGTATGTCCTTAGGCATTATTATCGGACTTTGTAACTTATCTTCCTACTTATGTTAAAGCAAAAACAAAAAACAGACCAACTACCGGAATGGCTAGTAAGTGGTGAAATGATAAATAAGTAATTACAAATTGAAGGCGGTATATCTAATTTACCCTTAAAAAATACAAGAACCATTTTCTTTGGTGGGAGAAGCACGGCGAGCCTAAAATATAGTCGCTAACAAAAATAAAGATTGTATAGGTTAATTGAAAACTTTAAAATATTTACGAATCGATGCTATCATTAATATTCCAAGCTAAAATTATGAATCAAAACTTATAATAAATATCTTCCCATTGAAAATAATTCTCAAAATATAGTTAGGTCCGTACTCATCGTCTCCTCAGTAAACACATGGCGTGAATTGTGTCTAAAAATTTCACAGATAATTGTTAGATATTTTGAATACCCCGAAATAAATTTGTCTTAAAATGCAGAGTGACGACGTAAGTACTTATTAACGATATAATAATGGTAACTAGAGCTGTGTGTTGTATTTGTCTGGTTGTATCACCTGTAAAATGGCTTATGGTCAGTAGCAATATTGTATAATAATTGAGTAAATTCCTACGAACGCTATTTTACCGTGAGTGCGCTTTGATTGGCTATTACCGGCGAACAAAAGGGCAATATATCCACTGCTTTCATGATAATTATTTAAGACTTCACACCACACATTCCTACCACTAATCTATTATCATATTCGAATAAGACGTCTAATTAGAAAATAATTTTCATCTTTTACATTACCGGCGGAAATGTATAATAACGGAGAAAGCGTATCCAAAATGTTCTCTTTTCTTCCATTAATCTTCCACCATTATCGCCTGCCTCACCTCCCACACTGTGTCTCCTTCATAAATCATCACCCACAGGCGTTCCTGTACACGTCATGCGGCCATTCAAAAGCTTCTTTTTTTTTTTGCAACCAATTAAAATGATTTTGGGTTTAATTCGCAGTATTTTTTGCCCAATCAATTTCGAGTTTTATTTTGGGTCTCATATTTCGAAATTCAAATTCATTTCCGACCATGGAAGTCTGCGATGGGTGTCACTTCAATTATATGGAGCTGATTGTGAGTTTTTTGGAAAAAAACGAAAAAACTATAGTATTTTTCCGATCGCATGGTGTTCTCCCAACCTCGGTAAAGTGTTCTAAGTGCAAGACACTGTAAATACCGCAAAGAACAACATATGTGCCGTTGTCATAACTCGTCGCAACCAGGCCAATAAGGTAAGAAATAGGTGATTCCATCATATGGTGAGAGTCAGTTAGGTTAGGGTAGGTTTTTGTTTTTATAGTGTTTTTTGGTGTATTGTTTATTCGCTTAGCCATTATTTTTTTTCGGAAAACGTCCAATGAAAAAAATTCTATAAAAAAGACCCCATGCTAATTTCCGCCAGAAATGAAGGTCATATTCGTTCTAAACACAAATACACCAGAAAAATATATTTCTGACTGTCTAACAGAGTGCGGTGTGCAAGTGCAAGTTTACCAAAAGGAATTTAAAACCGCTGCAGTTTCACTGTCTTATAGTGGACACTGTTGTGTCAAATGGGGGGGGCTGTGAAGTCCTCCATATTAGCCGCGTTCATTTTTTATAGAGATGTTTGAATGATACAGTTGTAGGAAAATAGAAATGACAATGCATAGGTTAGGAAGTTAGGTGAGGTGAGGTTATTTTAGGTTCTAATAGGTTCTGTACAATGTTATTTTGATTTGATTAGCACTCACAATAAAATAACCTTAGTAAGAACTTAGCCAGGCACGGCAAAATATCCACTGCCTTTACAGTATGTTAATTATAGCTACTGGCAGGTGAGTGTGTGCAGCGGTTAAGATTTGTTTTGGGGTAAAGGTTGAGAACACGGATAGCTGTATAAATAACTTGGGTCAATTGAACTAAAATTTCTGCTTGTTTTTACCCCACAATTTCCTTCTGCTGTACTTCAAAGCCCAGCTCACTTTGTGATCAAAACGGCATTTTTTGTACGTGAAATTCAATTTTAAAAAACAAATATTTTCAACAAAAATGTTAAATTCTTAAAGTGTTGAGTAATTTACTTTTCTTTTCTTTTTTGTGCTTAATTTCCTTATATACACGTCAATACTGTATAGAGTTTCATGGTTGACCTTTTCTGAATCTTTACTTAACTTGGTTTTTAATATTTATCATAATAAAAATGTGTTAATCTTTTATTTAATGGCTGTAGAATCACGAGCGCCATTGTTAACATTTGGTGATACTTAGAACTTAAAGAATTAACAGGTTCTTGGTTAGTTTGGTTAATTTTATGAATAATAAATTTGTAGCACCATCTGCTACTTTGGAAAGTTCCTAGTCTCACTTATGTCAACAACGGCGGCACTTGTGATTTTATGCCCATTGAATACAAAATGTAGGAAAATGTTTGTTACCATTATCACTTACCTTAACTTGTGCACCTGAGCCATCTAAAGTTGACTAATATTGTATGGAAAAACCGTAGTACAGGTACAATACTTGGCAACATTAATAGATTAGGAGCTAGAGTCTAGGGTCAAAACAAGTGTTAAGATTAAAATTCCCCAAATCTTCTTGTGTTTCCTTTGCTACTACATTGCCATACAATATTTGTCAGTTCAGACTTACTTTTTCTTGATCCTCCACTATGATTTAAAGCAAACATATTAGTGAAGATCCTGTACAATATCAAGAAATAAAGTCAGCATTATCTTTAATCTTTACCTTCTAAGTCCAAACCTTACCTAGCTCAATAAATCTTCAGTATGAATGTGTTTCAGTGTATTCATTGTTAACAGATTTCTAATGTTTCTTTCTGTTTTCAGATAACCTGGAGCATCATAAATAAAACATTTTGCTCTTTTAAAATCCAGTAAGTAAGAGTTTTTGTTGTTTTAACTGTTTTATGATTTGTAAACCTCAAAATGTCTCATAGATTGTCTTTTCACAAAGTGGTTCCTGTATAGTCATCACATAAGTGTAGAATATGTATTTATCAGCAGTCTCATTCAAGTTGAATGAACCAGTGATTTATACCGGCTACTTCATGGCATTGATTTTTTTTTCTAATATGTTGCTTTGAACTTCCTCAACAATAGTTCTTAATTTACAAAATACAGTAAGATCTCATATTTCTCGCCATTTCATTTCGCGTTTTTTAATTTCGCGAGCTCTACCTAATGTAACCGAGTCTTTTCTTTGGCGTAAAATATCGTGAATTCTGCGAGATCCATCCAGCTGAATGTTGGTCACCGTCTTGAATAGCGTCACAGCCCTCATACCAGTTCCAGTCATTTCTGCTACAACGCGTGTTTTGTCAATGCGAATTGGTTGCAACGTGTGTTTTGTCAAAGCGAATTGGTTGCTATGCGATTGATGAATAGGGGAACGCTGTTTGTAAAACGCGAACTTTTGCATACGAATGTTGGCACAAGCGCGATTCCGTCCTCAACGTTTTAAGCGTGGTGTGGGGTTATGCAATATTTACAGTTCACGTTCGACATCACATGTTCAATTGATTCGTGTCTTTTGTTTGTGAAGTGATTTTTGAGAGGTACTCTGTAATTTTTTTTTTTTTATTATTATAATTTTAGCTGTTACCCATAAATACTGTATGAAAAGAATAAGTAAAAAGAATGTTTCGCAGAGAGGACTAATAACGGTTTACACCAGCGCTCTCTGTTTACATCACGTGATCAGTTGAATTGCGCTGTTTCTATCAATTAGTCCGTGATTTTCGCTATTTTCTCCAATTTTGTTGTGATAGCGATGAATACAGAAAGACAGGGTAAGAAGAATGTTTCCAAGAAGCGTTCTGGTGATCGAATTGCCGGTGGTGAATGTAAAAGAGGTTTACAAGAACGCAACTATCGCGTTGTAGCCCGCGCAATCCTAGCGACCGCCCGGGCTGCTATGGTGTGCTTTTTTGGGTGGTGCTACCACCTGTCGAGTCAAGATAATGGCCTCTACCTCTACTGGGGGTCCTACTGGTGCTGGTGGGGGTGGGACAGACCCACCTAAGCGGCCAAATAAGGAAAAGGAGAAGCGGGACTATCATAAGGGAGTTAAGTTTGCCAAGTACTCGATGCAGAATAAGCAGTGTGTGATTAGATTACTTGAGGAAGGCCTAAAAACTAGTTTCCGTAAAGCACAGTCAGGTCAATAAAGGCAGAATTTGTATCATTTGGAAGTTATAAATGGGAAAATCAGAGGTTGATGTAGAGTGGCCAGTCTATATTGTCATTTTTCCCATGAGTTTATGTATTTGCATTTGTCAAATTTGAATTTGGCGTAATTTTTCCAGTCTATATTACTCGCAAAACACATGATCTTACTGTTCTGTACTGTAGTTGGTAAATAACATTGCAGACAGGTATAGGAAATATTTTACACCTTCTCAATCATGAATTAGTAGCTAGTTCATAAAATCAGCCCAATCTTTATGACTGGTGTGGACTACAGAAATGTCATGTGATGAAGTTAGGAAAATTTTGTGTCTCACCTTTATCCCCTTCCTACAATAAATGTGACTTCACAGGCTCTCTCTTTCTTTCTTTCTTTCTTTTCCTCACATGAAATTTTACATCTGTGTGATGCACATGATAATTTCTTATACAGTACTGTTATTGTATTACATATTCTTAGTTTCATTGAAAGTTTAGTATCACATTAATTGTAATGTTGAAATCTCTTGCAGAACAAAAAGCCAAAGGTTTTGTCGAAATGAATTCAACTTAACAGGGCTGTGTAGCCGGAGTGCCTGTCCTCTGGCCAACTCGCAGTATGCTACAATCAGGGAAGAAAAGGGCATAATTTATTTATATATGCGCACAGCTGAAAGGTGGGTTAGTTCCCTTGATAAGTTCTTCACTTATTGTATTACAGTATAAAAATTGAGGTGTTTGTGAAGGGAAAATGTTATCTATACTGTAGATTTAAAGGGAGAAGAAAGAGCATAACCATTCTCATTCAGCATCTAGTAGATGTTTTCCTCCTTCACTCCCCTTTGGCAGGAGGCTAAGACAACTGAAGGATTATTCCACCATCAGCAAACATTTGATAATGTATTAACTTTACAGCTCAAAGTGTAAGAAGTAGTGTACGAGGATGGTATTAATATTGTACAGGATCTCCTCTGCTGAATAAAATTGTTAGTCAAATAAAATTTGCATCCCGTTAGTGGAGGGATTAAGAAACGGTATTGCATGGTAATACCTCTTCACTATAATGTAGTATCTAATTTTAATTTCTACTTTCCAGGGCATTTTTTCCAGCCAAACAATGGGAAAAAGTCAAACTATCTCGCAACTTTGTAAAGGCACTGCAACAGATTGATGAGAATTTGGTCTTTTGGAAGAAGTACTTTCGTCAGAAATGCCGTCAACGTCTCCTCAAGATCACACAATACCTGACTCGAATGAGAAAAATTAAACTAGGAAGACAGTAAGTTGACGTATGAAAGTTCTGTCACTGTTAGTATGAGGTACAGCATCAGTAAATCATTGTCCAGTTCTCAAAAAATACATGGTACACATACATCATTGGTATTAATACATCTTTTGTACGTTTTCCTGAATACTGTACTGTACGTACAGTCGGCCACAAGAATAAGTATACACCTACGGTTTGTGTTTGAGACAATATATCTGGTAATGCTGTCCTGAACAGAACAGACAAAATTACAAAATGACCCGTAATTTATGTATTATTCCTACATACATATATGTTATAAATACATGTGTTGTGAATGTTTTACTAGTGTCTTGTGTTTATATTACAAGTAATATATTGTATCCAATGGTAGTAAACTTGTTGCCGAATGGGATTGCAAGTTTTTTTTTTATGGGGATTAGCTCCCTCCTCCTCTCCCACTTTTTCTCTTACCCTACTTTTTTTTTTACTGATGTTTTGATTAGTAAAGGAAGGAAGAAGAGTAAATAGAAGAATAAAGAAGGGGAAACAGAAAATAGTTAGAGATAACAGGTGAGGGGAACTGAGTTTCACCATGCATCTGGATGCCCAGTTTCAATTTTACCAGACCATTTTCGGACCTTACAGCTACAGTGTGTATACTTATTCCTGTGGCCGACTGTACATCTAATGAGGTGTAGCCTGGTTTAACATTACTGAATAAGATTCCAAGGATAATACAGGTATTGTACTTCTTAATGGTTATTTAACTTCATATTGGAGAATATTGGGAGTAAACAATAATACAGTAGTCCTTTTAGTATTCATATTATCCTTTACTTTAACAGGAAGAAGCTGATTCCTATAAAACGTAAAGTTGACTTACGCATCAAACGACGTGAAGAGAAAGCCCTAGTTGCAGCCAGGATTGATAATGCAATTGAGAAACAACTTCTACAAAGACTTAAAGATGGAACTGTAAGTTTGTAGTTTTGGGTTAAGTATTTCTTTAATGAAACATTAAATAGAAAAAATATATATATTATAATTACTACAGAAAAAACATCATAACACTTAGCATTAATGACCTCATAAGAGAACCTTAATCATTGCACATTGATAAGGACATCTTATCACTTTTCCTATTCTATAGGTACTAACACATTCACTGCATTGAAGAGCTAAGTTCATTACTACCATCACCATACACTAACAGTTGCTCCTGGGAGGGCCCATGGCTTTTCTGTTGAAAGTATGTTTTACAGAACATATCCCAGGCTAGCACTCTGTGAAACTCCCTGCCAGTCGTTTCCCCAGTGTCCTATAATCTCGATCAGTTCAAATCATCCTAATTCATATATCTTTGGTACTTGGCAAGGGGATTCATCAGTGAATAGAATTAAAGGTTGACCCATAGCTGACCTCTCACTGCACCTTTTATTTGTTAAGAAAATGAGATAATGTGGGGAACATAAGTTGTAGACTAGCTGGCAGCACAGTTGGTTTATGAATTAGAGATCCTGTACTGTGCTGTGTTTGCGGCCCTTCACATGACCATTTCCTTAGATTTTACTTAATGGTTTGTAGGAAGTAGTTTCATGTGAAAGATTAGTCTAGGAAACAATACTTTTCTATACAGTAAGATGCATTATTTGTATAATATCATCAATCTACTGTATTTATTGTTTGTTGGACTAGTAAAGATATTAAATTTTCCAAAATCTTTATTTTGTCAAGCTGTAGACATTGTTACTGTCTCCTGAAGACATTATCATAACATACTTTGGTATTTATTTAATAAGTTTCCCCTCATTCATTTTTGGTTTGATCTTACTATACTGTACAATCTATTTGACAGTATGAGCGTATATACAACTTCCCACAAGAAGCTTTTAGTGTACGAGTCGATGGGAAGGAGGAAGAGAGCGACATAGAAGAAGAAGAGTTGGACGACAAAGAGGAGGAAGTTGAGACTGATGAAGATGTTGTAGGAGAGCTGGAGAAGGAAGTTTTAGAAGAAGAAAGAAGAGAAGAGGTATGGAAAGACTGAATGTTGTGAACTTTTCAGCTGTCTACTGAATCATCTTTTTTTCTCTTGTTTAGAAATTTATATTATTTTTAACCATTTTCCATTAGATCCAAGGTTTCTGCACACTATTACCACTCTTTAGTATTATTATTATTATTTAGGGGATGAAACATCAGGTGTTGATGTAGTTCAAGTTGAGTGATATCTTATTCTCTTACAGGGTTATCTTTGTAAAATGATGAAACAGAAAACCACTTGTGTACATCAGGACTGGACAAAAATGTAACTCTTAAACCTACATTATGGTATACTTAATTGCAGATGGATAGTGATGATGGTGAAGAGGAAGATGATACTGATGAGGAACGGGAATTTGTTGCAGACTTTGAAGAGAGTGATGAAGAAGATGAGGATTTAGAGGTAAAAACATGGAGATGTATTTTTATGTTCAACTGGCATCACTTTTCCTGCTCTCTTGAACTTTCTAGAAAATTCTTTAAGACATTTAATACAAAGTTTGCTGGGAACAGGTTCAGTAGACCTCTTTATACTGGTAGGAGGTAGAGAAAAATATTAATTTTTAGAGTACAGTAGCTGTTTTCTTTGTGTCAGTGTTATAGTGATTGAAACACTAGTCCAGCGGGCTCCCTTGGGACCTGACCAGTGCTGAATCACAAAAATTGCCCCCTGAGAACCCCCTACTTTTCACATGACTTTGTGCTAATGTCATTGTTTTTTATTAAGTAACCACAATTTATGCTAGAGTGCCTCATGCATAAAGAAACTATTGGAATACATGTATCCAAAGTACACGACCCCTTATATACATCTGATCCCCTGAACTGCCCTTACGCTTGGGTAGATAGGAGTTTTGGGGGATGGCTGTTCCCTAATTTCCTGAACTTGTTATATTATTATGAAATTTATTGCTTTGAAAACCATTGATTCCTTGTCCGCAGTCCGCATATGCCAAGTGATCTTGTGAGGGGATTATTAACTTTAGTAGTAATCTCCCAAATTTTATTCATTATGAAATTAAAAAATTTCAGGATGCAGCAAATAGGATGTCTTTAAGTTCAGAAGAGGAAGAGGATGGTGACTCTGGTGATAATGAAAATGAAGGAGAAAGTGATCTTGAGAGAGAACAGACGAAGATATCTGATTCGCCCAACAAAAAGGGATCATTGAAGCGGAGCAAACCACCACAAGTCATAAAGCGACGTGGAAGAGCACGTTTAGAAGTGGAATATGAGGAGCCAGAAACATCTACAAAAGTCAAGATTACCTCTTAAAGAGGGCAGCATGGAATAAAAACATGATTAAATTCATACACCTTTTATGGAATGAATGTATTCATACAAAGATTAGCTCTTGAACTGTTATTATAGTATACAGTACTTGTAAAACATGATAATAAATTCTAAGTAATACTGCAATTGAAATGTTATATTTATTTAACTTACTGTGATTATATTCTGGATGAATTTTCAACACAGATACAGTATACTAGAGTTTACACAAATACTATACTGTATACAGTGAAATCCCCATCAGCCGGAACAATTGGTGCAGAGCACTTCCGGGAATGAGAGATTTCTGGGCAATGAGATGACTCTCAAAGCCGGAAAAAAATCCCTCATCCCTGTAATTTTCCGGGTAATGGAAAAATATTCTTGGAAGTTCCAGAAATTGTCCATTACAATATTTCTTGAACCCGGAAAAATACCTCTCCTTCCCGGAATTTTCTGGGTAACAGAAAATTTTTCTCAATTCCCAGAAAATGAGCCTGATTTTCATCTCTCAAACCTGGAAAAAACTCCCCTATCCCCAGAATTTTCTGGGTATCAGGAAATTTTTCTTTTAATTTTCCGGAAAATTGTTCCCAAAGCCGGAATTTTCCGGGAAATTTTGGCTTTGGTAACAATTTTTCGAGAAAATCTCAATTCTGAGTTTGAGGGATTCCGGTTAACGGAGATATTACTGTATTATCATACAATAATGGAATCATAAGCAACACTGGTGGAGGTAATCTAATTGTGATGTCACAGCCTCCCACATCCATGGACAGCGGTGGATTATAGTGGGGGCAATTGGGGCTTTTGCCTCCAGCCTCAGATCTTTACTTGTCCCCAAAAATTTTTTAAATGTTTTTTATGCAGCTTCTCTTTTTACAAACAAAAATAGCTGTTTGGACATGGTATGAGGGTGTAATATTGCTGTAAAGGTGTGAGGCTGCTGTGATGGTGTATGCTTGTGAGGGTGTGTGAAGCTGATGTGAACCCAACAGTTTACTTTTGCTTTTTTTTTAAATAGGATGTTTTTGAAGAGTCAAAGTGGTGTACAATTAAATTAAAGGGAGGGGACTTACTTATCGTCGCGTGTATCTACAGATCCCCAAACTGTGGCCCACTAAATCAAAGGAACGTAAAAGCCTTAATAGACAATGCGACGATGCTCAACCCTAGCCACCTCCTTATCATGGGGGACATTAACTATGGCGATATCGACTGGAGAAACGAGTTCACCCCAAATGACTTGAATAACCCTGCTACTCTTTTTGTAGAAACTCTGAGAGATAATTTTCTGTTCCAACATGTTAGAGACCCGACACATTACAGAGGGGAGCAAACACCCAAGCCACTAGACCTCATCATAACAAACGAGGAGGGTATGGTGGCCAAACTGGAACACCTTGCCCCAGTTGGCACTAGTCACCATATAGTGTTGTCATTCAGATTTAACTGATACCTTGTTCAGGATAAGGCCAGGCCAAGGAGCAAATATTACAAGGGAAATTACAATGGGATGAGGGAAGAGATGAGGGGTATCAACTGGCCCGTCTCATTAAGGCCCAAGAACTCAGACACTACGCTGAATATCATAACTAGTAAAGTGACCCATTTGATCGATAAATATATACCCAAGACCAAACCCAGTGCCTCTAGGAATACGAGGGGATCCCTACACATGAACCACGCGGCGGTCGACAAAGTTAAGAAGAAAACCCAGAAATTCAAGATGTGGGTTGGGTCAAACAATGAGCAGGACAGGAGGATGTATGCAAAAGACAAACCAAGCAAAGATAGAGTGTAGAAGGGCTGAAAAGGAGTTCCAGAGGCTGGTTGCAAGCGAGGTCAAGTCAAACCCAAAGGCGTTTTACTGCTATGCAAAATCGAAATTAAAAAAGAGAGTAGGAGTATCAGACCTGAGGCTTGAAGATGGTAGTTACGCAGATTATGATCTGGATAAAGCTGAGGCATTGAACAGCTTCTTTTCCTCGGTGTTCACAAGAGAGGATGCAACTAACCTTCCTGCGTTTGAGGACAGATGGTTCGACACAGCACTGACCCACATTGTGTTCACAGAAGAGGGTATTAAACTGTCAAAGCTAAAGGTTCATAAGAGTCCCGGCCCTGACATGGTGCATCCTAGAGTGCTAAGAGCATTGTGCAACGAGTTTGCCGATTCCCTGAAGATCCTGTTTTGTAAATGCCTGGATGAACAAAAGGTCCCCAGTGAATGGAAAGTGGCCTATGTGAGTCCTATCTTCAAGAAGGGCGATCGTCACTCCACGAACAACTATAGACCGATGAGCCTGACCAGCATAATATGTAAAGTACTTCGAGTATTATCAGAGATGCCGCAATGGAACATCTACAACGAAACAACCTTGTAAAGGATTGCCAACGCGGTTTTATGCCGGGGCACTCCTGCTTAACAAAATTGCTCAAGGTATTGGATATTTGGACCCATATTCTGGAACTGGGTGGTAATATCAACAATATTTACCTAGATTATGCCAAGTCTTTCGACACTATACCCCACGAAAGGCTGAAAATCAAACTGGAAGGGTACGGAATTCGGGTTAATGTCCTAGCTTGGATAGAAGAGTTTCTACATGACCGCAAGCAGTGTGTTGTGATTAATGGCATGAAATAATCATCCGTACCTGTCACAAGTGGGGTATCACAGGGCAGTGTATTGGGACCACTGTGGTCTGTTTGTTTCATAAATGACATACCTGACGTTGTACACTCCTCCATACAAATGTTTGCCGATGATGCCAAGTTATTTTGGGAAATCAAGAACCAAGCGGACTGTGAAGGCTGCAGAAGGACCTCTGTGGGCTCCAAGAATGGTAGAAGAAATGGCTACTGAGATTCAATGTCACGAAGTGTAAGAGGATGCACCTGGGGCGTACCAACGGTAAGGAGGCGTATCATATGTCCCAACGAGATGAAGAAACTGCACTATTTGAGACTGAATGTGAGAAGGACCTAGGTGTGTATGTTGACAATGAGCTGAAATTCTCGTGCCATTGCGAGAAGAAGGTAAATCAGGCAAATAAATTATTGGGTCTTATAAGGTCATTCAGATATCTAGACGTGAAGTGCTTCCCCATCTGGAGTACTGTCACCCCGTCTGGTCCCCGAGATATGCTAGGGACTGTCAGTTGGTTGAAAATGTTCAAAGGAGGGCCACCAGACTGGTGCCTGCACTTCAGCACCTCAGCTACACTGAGTGATTGAAGCGCCTGAACTTGCCTAGCTTATACTACAGACGGGCAAGGGGTGACCTAATAGAGGCGTATAATCATCTCAAGGGGCACTACTCAGTCGAGTGTCCTTACTTGCAGTTTACTGATTTGGGAGAAATCCTTTGGATAACATAAAAAGCAGGATAAACTACTGTGGGATGAACAGTGGCGATGCCATTGGGCTGTTATAAGCCTCACTACGGGGCGATTGATAACGAATAGACGGGATGTACAGCATAATTATGTTATTCGCTCAGCCTGTGTAACCTCTTCCCTTCCTCTATTCGCACCGCCAAGAGGCCCTCTTCCATTAACTTTCTCTGTCCTCTTTCTCAGGCCAGAAAACATGGAATACCGAAAATAAGCTGTACCTCTTGCAACTCACCCCTCCCACCACTTTCTTCACCTGCTTTTATTGGTTGGACCTGTTCCTAATATGTTCAACTTTAAGTGAATCGGAATCTTATATAACTGCAGCAGTAACTTTTATAAAAGACTTCAACGCCATATCAGTACCTATCTTCTCAGATTATTCTATTAGGATTGGTTGAATTTAGTTGCGTCATCAGAACAAGTTATATATTCAACGCCCTTGGCTGCAGTGTAAGTAGCAAGTCTACAAATGTCAAGAACACCTTCACCTGCTGCCATGCATGTAAAGAAAACGAGGAACAGTTGTGTTCTTGTAGACAAATGATAATCGTTGTTTCTATTCTCCAGGTAGAACAAAACTCGTCTTAACCAATCACACACTTCCTTATACGGTGAAGCATCCGTGTCTCGGCCAATCAGTGATCACCCTGAGACGGAAACAAGGTGGTATGGTCTTGTTTACAGTCGTCAGGGTCAGAGGGTGGACGGGGACTAGAGGTCAGCAACATCGAATATTGGGATAGTTATAGTGTGAATTGGTCGTTTGACTAGATAACAGATGACTGCTAAATACTCAAGTGATTCATTTTAACCACGAGTGAAAATATATGAGGCTTGGTGTTCAGGTCCAGAGAGGAGATATGTCTGACACCTGTGACTTTCACCTGTACCTGGCAAACGTGCCTTGAATAATATATTTGGATTATTATGGTCTCTCAGACGGCAGGAATGTCGTATTCTACTGCCCCCAGACAACATGTGCTGATCTCTAACAGTAAGTACTCGTGATCCTGACCACAGCTAATGTATTGTGGTCAAGTGATGGGCGGCAGGTGGTCGAAAAGTTTAGAGGCACCATTTAATTTTTGCAGCTGTGCTAATATTTTGTAGCTACATTTGCTGATGTTGGCACTTGGTAAACTGCAGGTCCATACTGATAAAAACACAGTGCCAGATTATTTATTTGATAATAAGTGAGAACAGCACTACCACCAGAAGGAATTGATTTAATTCATTTTTACTCCAGATGTTCTAATGTAATCATTATAGTAGTAAGTATTTAAAAAAAAGGCGAAATTTTCTAAAACCAAATAGAATTTGACCTAACCAACCAAAGAAACCTACCTTACCTTACCTAACTTCCTAGCCAGGGGGCGGACCCCCTGCCATATTAAACAGAAAGCAACTTTGTTGAAATATCATGTTGTAATTTTACTCTTTTTGGGGACGTGAGAGTACACTCGAACTGAGTGGGTCAGTTGTAAACAAACGGCATGTGGTGACTTGGCAGATTTTCTGAAGAATATTTACGGCAAGTAATTAATTTCTTCACGTGCAAAATACGTAGAGACATCATTAGTGTCATATGATCAGATTTTCACCGTGTTTTACCCCACAATTTGCCTTATCTTTCATGCCCTGCCCAATACAGGTGATTTATGATTGTTGATAGAGAAAAATGAAAAAAAAAATATTTGATTAAAATAAATAGTTATTGCTTCTTTTAAAATACAGTACTTACTATAATGGTAAGAACACCTGTGAAAAAATGAATATACTCGAACAATTCCTTCTGGTGGTAATAGAGTAGTGGATGAATGGAACAAGTTACCAAACATCATTAGTGACTCAAATATGATGGATAGCTTCAAACATAGGTTAGATGGATATATGAGCAATAGGAGTTGGGTGTAAATGGACTGCCCAGTATGGGCCAATAGGCCCGCTGCAGTTTCCTCCATTCTTATGTTCTTATATACTGTTCTCAGAAATTACCATTTTTTTATCTGTGGTTAATATTGACGAGATACCCGTCACAGCCTAATTTGTTTTGATGGATCTCTTCTTACTATATTTTCATTGCTGAGGTTAGATATGATATTCATTTCTTGGACAAATGGTTTGTTTGGTAGATATTTAGGCCCTTAGGCTCCCACTAGCGGCAGTATACTTCGTCTTACGCAGATATAAATCGGTAAGGTGGCTTGATCGACACTTGTCTGTTTGCCGCACCGCACACGGGAATATCGAAAATGGCGCAAAATTAAAATTTACGTTTTTAAAGGATATTTTATATACATATAATTTTTTAGTAAAAAAACGCGAATGGTCAAAACCACGATATAACCCCCCCGTGAAAAACACAGGATTACTGTATGTATGAAAAAGTTTAGATAATTATAGGCTTTGATGAGCTGGAATCGGAGGATATTGAGGACGTCCTGGCATCCCATACAGAAGAGCTCACCAATGAGGATTTGCAACAACTAACAGAACACAGTCCCATTGAAGACGAAGATGACGAAGAAGAACCTCAACGAACGCTAACTACCCAAGAGGATGGCAAAAGCATTATTTATTTATTTATCTTTAATGGGGATTAGCCCATCCAGGCATAGGTCACCCACCCACATCAGGGCCTGGGGGGTGAACAAAAATTTAACCAAAAATAAATACAGAAATGGAAAAAATGAAAAAAATCAAGAGTGAGAAAGGTTATATATGTTGTGGTGTCAAAGAGAGAGACACAATTGAGAGCCTGCAATTGTGTGTAAATGAGGCAGAAAGTTAGATCAGCAACCTGGGACTTGCTTACAATTTTTGTGATGCCATATGGCAGCAGGGTTTACCATTAGACTACTGTACACTTTATGCTTCCAATAGCTTCCCAGGCGGTAGTATTGTACCTCCCTGTTTGGTAGCTGCCTACTACCTACTATCTGAAAAATGGGATTGACAGCACTTGAGTTTGGCTCTTTAAGTTTTGGGGAAGTACAACCCAGCCCTTTCAATTCTGTTTAAAAACTTGGAATGTACTTTGACTTAAAACAAAATTTTAAAGAGTATATACAGTAAACTCATTGTTTAAGAGTTGCAACTTTCATAATGATATCCATATTTCTGTGAAGTAGTTTTTGGATAGACATTGTCTTGGGACACAGCTACATTAACTTATTTGGTCTCGAGTTGACTATTTATGGGTCTACCTACCTAATTATCTACTGAAGAAAGTTCAGACAGCATTAAACAGGGTTGTCAGGCTTATTTTTGCTCTCCCACAAAGGACTCCCACTACCTCATTCTTGATCAAATTGCACTGGCTTCCAATCAAAGCTAGGATAGAGTTCAAACTATGCCTAATGACTTTTAAGGCTTTTATGTTTGATGATCTTAAGTATAGTATTTATCTAACCTACTAAATCCCCTGACCACAAGTTCTAAAATGATTTTGCTTAATAGAGAGGATCCCTCATGTCTTCATGAGCCTAGTGCAGTATGGGAATGTTCTTTTACTGTTCAATCCTTTTCCTATACAGCACTAGGCTGTACAATCAGTTACCTGCATACATAAAGCAGCTGACTTCCATGGAGGCTTTTAAGAAAAACTTAAGGCCTTTCTCTTTTTGAAAGCTTATGATCCTGAGGAGGGTACTGTACGATGATGGAGAATTACCATACTGTAGCTACAGGGTTTAGGAAGTGTTACAACTTAAGGGTATATGAACTATCACTTTTTGTGATCTTTTTTGTAGCATTTTTTTTTTTTTAATTCTAAGGTCCTTGACTTTCTACTGTTTTGGGAAATACTGAATCTTTTAAAAGAACTGGTGCTTTTGAGAAAGAAAAAGCTATTACAGTATTTTCTCGAATAACAATCCAATTCGAGCCGCCCCTGTTCATTAAATTGAAATTTCCTCTAAATCGACCATTCCTTTATGTTTGTTCAATTTACCGAACTACAGTATTTCACTAAATCGAGCATGATTCCGTTAAATTCTGCGTCAAACGCGTCACTTGGCGCGTGGGGATTGTTTACATCCGCTCTGTCTGTGTCCTGCTGCCACCGCGTGTGCTGTTCACTGCTACCTCTCGATCTACCTTATTAAGGTGGTCTCCACTTAGGGGGATATCGCTTAAACAACAAAATTATTTGTCCAAAAATAATAAAAAAAATTAAAATAATATAAAATGAATAAAAAAAAGGCAGGACAAAATTTGTCCTTAGATGACATGTTCGCCTTGAGCCAAAATTTCAAGGGACCAAGGTGTCAGCATGCTGGACACAGGTGCCCGAGAGTTATCAATTGTTGTTTGTGGTAAAATTATTTCATTCACTCTACTAATGATACAATGTGTCTTATGTTATCATAGGTAAATTCATGGTTTATATTATTTCTTTATCACTGTGCCCATCACCGTTTTCAAATTTGACTAAAAAGATATATATTTCTCCCATATGTATTTTGATCATATGCCTGGCAATGGGTAAGGGGAGTGAGTCGAGTGACCTCTAGTTGAGCATTGTCTGCTCTTGTAAGTCTCCTTCCTCCCTGCCATAAATCACTGGATTTACTGTTATTATTAGTGTTTACTGATATAATAGTGCTTAACCCATAAAGGTCATATTATTATACAGTACATGGTACTCCCTGGTTGGGAAAAAAATCATTTTCATACAAGGAAATCTCAATCCTGGTAATGCTTTGCACCAATTTTTGTGGTTAATGGAGATATCACTGTAACTGACAAAAAAAAGATGACAGCACAAGTGAGATTTTGTAGCTTAGTAATTCATGCCAATAAATCAGACCCAGCCTTTTAACTTGTAAAAGCATATTGTTTCATCATATTTATGTATTATACAGTTTAACACTTTGTGCACCACACGCTTGTAATACTTTACTGCACACTATGTTGTACTATATTACTTATCTGAACTGTGTGTGAAACAAAGAAATCCCGAGGGTCTTAGGGGTCCCCACATAAGGCAATGTGAACAAACAGCTGGTGGCATCGAAGAATAAAGTGGAGGTTTATTTGAATGGGAGAAATATCCATACACATACAGTACATGTCACCACATGGGAAATTTTTTTTGGCCGTGGCATTTCTGTGATTTTACCTGTCCAGGACTATAAACATTAGGTTATAAATGTGAGTTTACTAGTGAAAGGGTTAATTTATGGTTCATAAAATGAACCAAACTAATTTACCTAACTCAACTTAAAATACTACTTAGTTAAACCTAACCAAACCTGTTCTATTCAGAGGAAGTATTACTGTACCATAATTTGTTTCCCCCTGAGCCATGTGCATGTTTATATCATAACCACAGTGGCATCTAGTCCAAGGGTGGAGAAAATGCAGCCCACGGGTCACATCTGTTTTGCCATAATTTTTTTCTATGATGGTGACAATATCCCTCTGTAATTTTGCAAATCGTGAGGAACATAAATATTCTGACAGAGCATTATTTTCAGATCATGTTTTGATCAAGATACACACGTGAGAAGTATGGATAACGTACACCTGCATTTGCTCAGTGTTAGGGACGAGATAGTAGAGAACTGGTACATGGTTCGAGACTTTGTGGCCAGCTTCCTTCCTAAGTAAGTAGCTACAGTACAAGTCTTTTATTGTTTTTTATAATTCTTAGAGTATTGTAGGATATAAACCCACTCTTGATGTGTATACAGTATTCATCATCTCATCAACAGTTTATTGGTCAGATTGATGTGATAGAATTCCCCTTTTAAGGATGCTTAGTTGTTCTTGTATGACTGGCCTGACAAACCTTGTCAAATTCTGCTCTCACTTGTATTAGAAAGAATATTTTCATCATTCATCATTAAAGTCCCCTACATGTTCTTACACCTGGAGTGGCTGACTGTACCTGGATAGCATCAGAGTAAGGTGTGGCTCCTGTTTTAATTTTTAGTGACTTGTATAATATGGGACAGCAAACTATAACTACAGTATATATTTTAGACTGTCTGTGTTGTGACATGCCTTTGCTCATATTACTCTCTCAGAAAACTAAGATTTATATTATCTGTATGTGCCGTCTTTCTGCATGACATAATTTGTATTTATTCAGTACATTACTGTACTTTGTTAAATAATTTTAATTTTGACCTAAAATATGTACTGTAGTTGGTTCTGTACTGATAAATTTTACTTTCTTGCAGGAAAAATAACACCATAGGTGTAGCGTCTGGTGACTTGGGTCAAGATTCAGATGGACGCGTATGGGTAGAAGTTGGTGGGCCGGGTCTTAGACTACGGGTGATGCACCTCCACCCAGCTAACCCTTCTGTAGCTGAGGCATTAGTGACACATTTTTCTGCAGCTGCAGAAGATGGTCAGGGGGGAAATATCGTTCAGCTTCCAGCAGATGATGAAGTAAGACTACAGTATAAATATATCTATATTTATAAGAAATGCTGATGTTGAGTAAAGGATAACTTAGAATGTTCGTAATGAAAGATATACAGTATAAAAATCGTAATGAATACATATACATAGTATAATAAATCACAAATAAATATATATATATATATATACATACATATATATATACATACAGTAGAAGTCCAAAAATCCGGACTGCTTGGGGATTGGGTCGGTCCGGATTTTCGGATTTTCCGGATTCTCAGGCAGTACTTTTAAAATTCAAATTTAATGAAGAATAAAGAAGAAATGAACAGGTACATTTTGATAGTTTATTCATTTGCAAATATAGCATGCTTCATTTATCAAAACGAGCAGTTTTAATGAAAAAGCTGTGAATTCTAAATTTTATTCTTTGCCTTTTATATATCATAAATTGTAGACTTTCCAATGTCGTATGTTTCCATTAGAACAGTATTGCTCACACCACGTTCTAGTTTCTTAATTATTTCAAGTTTGTCACTCAATTTCAATGTGTTCTTCTTTCTCTTCACACAACGAAGTTTATCTACTTTAGGAGCCATTATTATGGGCTTGTACAGTACTCTGTAAATGGAAAGAGTAGGACTCAAAATATTGTTATATTACAATGGTATTCTATTCATACTGTGCTTGATATAATGCATTCACGGAAATGTAATATTTTTGCTGAACGTACGTATTACAGTGGAAAGTGGGATAAAATCGTGATGAAAACAATGACTTTCGCTTTCTTTCGTTCAAAAGATGTTACCGTAATCGCTTTTCGAATGGTTTTCAGTTCAAAAACTGTTGTATTACAATAATATTCTATCCTAATTGACTTGAATAAATACTACGATACCATATTTCTGAATATTTTCATTAAAATCCATCAAAATCATTTTCCTTGTCATCGTCTGCAGCACCAAACAGCTTCTCCCAGTCCTCTCCTTGAACAGGGCTAGAGGGTACGTGTTTTTCTAATCGTTTTCAGTTAAAAAACTATTACATCACTCGTCTATTTTACCTAAACTGCGCCTGAATGAATATATTCTCGGAGATAAATAGTAGTTTTGTGGAAACGTGACGTATTTCAATGTAAAATAGGATAAAATACATGACGAAAACAAAAGACTTTACCTAAGCTTCCGATGTTCTTGAGATGTTACTCGTTTTTTAATAGTTTTCGGTTAAAATTCTGATATATTACAATGATATTCTATTCATACTGTGCTTGATATAATACATTCACGGAAATGTAATATTTTTCCTGAAATTACATACGTATTACAGTGGAAAGTGGGATAAAATCATGACGAAAACAATGACTTTCGCTTTCTTTCGTTCAAAAGATGTTACCGTAATCGCTTTTCGAATGGTTTAGTTTAAAAACTGTTGTATTTCAATAATATTCCCTCCTAATTGACTTGAATAAATACTTGAATGGAAATATACAATATTTTTGTTGAAACTACCCGGGTTTCAGTGTAAAGTGTCGTAATAATAAATGGTAAACAATTTGCCTTCAGCACTTGTGTTTCATGCACGGCGAGCCTCAGTTTATAGGACGTAGAGCGTTTTTAGTGGTTTTGTTGTTCCATTACCCTCAAAAACGTGGGTGGAACTATAAACGAGGAATATCATAAATTAACGATTTCTTGGTCAAAAAATCAGGGTCGACTGATAACGAGGGGGGGTTATAGACGAGTATATACGGTATGTTGTCACAGTTTGATTGCCCATTTTAAAGTGGCAACCACGTGGTCGCTTGTTGTCACTGTGCAGCTGTGGCGCTCACGCATGCGCACATGCACACAAATGCCCGCTAAAAAAAAAAATCGTTTTTGAAAAGTCCGGATTCTCAGGTGGTCCGGATTTCTGGCATCCGGATTTTTGGACTTTTACTGTATATGAGCTGAGCAAATTCAAATGTATTCTATAAAGGCTGTCAAAACCATGAGGGACTCACTAACTGTACTGTATATGGCATAGTGTACATTCTACCTCTTTAAATGGAGAAAGACTTCAAATGACTGTTCCCGTACTTTATGCAGGTTCTTGTACTTTTTGCTCAATGATGCATATTGAATCTGTCTCAAGTAATAGAAGTGTTGTGGCCAGGTCTTGTGTTACTTACCTCAGGGTCCTGAAGGTTCCATCCCGGAATGTTGATGAATAGAGTTGTTATAAATATCTCCACACAGTCCAGTATTTAATGTTCTGTTTATTTATTTGTTGTTTGATTTATGTTTTTAGATTCTATCATTTTTATTTGGTTTTGATCCTTAGTCTATAAGGAATTGATTTTCCTTATTCCCTTTGTGTTATCAGAATCACAAAACAAAGTGAAGATGTCCAAGTGCACTTGTGACCTATGCCATTTAGTTAGGTACATGATTTTGTTAATACCATACCTATATATAGAAAGATTTTTCAGTTGACCTATTAAGGAAAAAGTGCCCTTCATTGGCTCCTCAGCAATGATTACGACTTATAGAAATTAATTGGTTACTGGTTGTTAAGTGAGTAAGGACACCACCCCAGCAAGTTAACAGTATTTTTTTCTTTTCAGTGTTTATACTAGAAAAATTCTTCGGATTATGTATAAGTGATTTTATAGTCTGTAACACACTGTGGATATCTTAACTGGCAGTAATAATAACTGAGAAATTGAAAATTTTATTGTTGTTTGCTGTTAAATGCTCTAATGTTCCCATTCTAGTTACCTTCACATACAGGTACTGTATTAGGCACAAAACTGCCTCTCTAAGGCAAAAGTGACAATGTATTGTATAATGGAAGCCAAAAGAAATTTATTTCAAAGGGAATTTATCTGTACAGATATCCTTGGCATCCTTAGAAGATTATTGGTTCAATCACTGGCAGGGTCCATACGTTTCTGCAGACTCAAACCAAAACACTGTTAACTTCAGGCGGTCAAGACGGAGTTTGAGGAAGTCAAAGAGGAAGTTCCGCTGCTCTGTTTGTCACAAGAAGGTGAGACCACCCACACACCCCCAAGACCACCCACACTCCCCCAACACCACCCTCACACCCCCAATTCCACCCTCACACCTCTAACATCAGTCACACACCCCCACCACCACCCAAACCCCACCCCCCACCACCACCCACACACCCCAAACTCCACCCTCATAACCCCAACATCACACACAGACACACACCCTGATGCATAAGTGAAGAGCGCTCCATCTCTCTAATCACCCACACCTTTCTACCTTCTGATTCATGATTTTAAAATGTTATGAAACAATTTTGAAGGGATATAATGTTGCTCATTTATAATCACAGGTGTATACTAAATTTTGTGGTTTCAGTAGCATCTGGCAGTCTGCAGGCACAGTGTTGCCAAAGAAACTGATAGACATATCACCTCCTCATCACTTACAACAATATCTCTCACCATCATCACCACTAACTATTATCACCACATAAATCATAATTTCAGTGTTGCAGAGATAGATTAGCTTCCCACCTCCCTCCCTCCTTACCCACCCATGCACTGTGTCTCAAACTACAGTTGCCACCACTTTTAATCTAACAACTGTCATTAATGATACAGGAGTACCCCAAAAACTGATGTCCGTTGACTGCCGTTTCTCATAACTGACGTTTACAAATCGGGGAAATACCCCGTAAGTTTTGTTGAGTACCTCGTTCATCCTACGCTGAGGAGAAGGAGCGGCAGAGGTATTTTTGAATTTGGCGGTCAGTGGCTCAATGCGAATTCTTGCTGCAAGAGGGCTCTGCTTGCTCTAGCAGCCTTATTCCCGCCATTAAGAAGTCTCTTCCACCCCTCTGGTGTAACTAGTCTCCGACTTCGTGTGTTACGCAATCTTGTCTAAATGCTCCAGTGTTTACACGCCCACTATATTGCCACACATTTTCTAGCTTGTCACCCAGCATATAATTTATACTCTATGTAGGGTTCCTTCTAAGTGGCACATCTATTCAAATTTTCAAAGTCATTCATCTTAATATTTAGTTCTAAAAGTATACCCTGTCCTGTACACTTATTCACCATAATTTAAAAAAATTAAAAGCCAACTACTCTTTGTTTTTTACACTTCAAAAATATGGAATGGGAAAATACAGTATTGATATTGATATCCCTCTCATTGTACTTTACTCTCGCCACAAAAAGTTCTTAAATGCTCTAGGGTCATACAATATGACAAACAAGAAATCTGAACATTTGTCTCTGAGAAAGTTTTATTGAAAATTAAATTACTGTACAGTAATATCTCGTTTAGCCAGAATCCCTCAAACCTGTATCTTTCCAATAGTTGGAAATTAAATTTTCTCGGTAAATCGTTCCCAAAGCCGGAATTTTTCCGAAAATTCATGCTTTAGGAAAAATTTTCCAAGGGGCATATTTTCCCGAAAATTATGAGAAAATTTTCCCGATACCAGGAAAATTCTGGGGGAGTTTTTCCCGGGTTTGAGAGATGAAAATTGGGTGCATTTTCCTGATATTTTGAGAGAAATTTTCTGATAGCTAGAAAATTCCAGGGATGGGGGATATTTTTTCTGGGTTTGAGAGATGATGTAATGGGCAATTTCTGGAACTTCCGAGAACATTTTTCCATTACCTGAAAAATTCCGGGGATGAGGGATTTTTTCCGGCTTTGAGAGAGTCGTCTTGTTACCCAGAAATCCCTCATTCCAGGAAGTGCTCTGCACCAATTGTTCCGGCTAACGGAGGTGTTATACTTCTATTTACCAGTAAACACTATAAAGACGAGCAACATATATTATTACGAAATATTGAAAGTCACTTCGCAATCAGACATGCAGAACTGTATGCCCGGATAATTCGCGGATTTTTATTTTGCGGTCCTCTATTATTCACGGATGACACCCTGGATGTACCCAAGAATGTCTGTGGGCAGTTTTAAAGTTGTCAGCATTTTCGCTGCTAGGACAGGGAGCCATTCATTCTAGAGACAGTAATTTCCTTTACCTGTATTGTAAATATGTGTGTGTGTAGCTACTACTACTACTACTACTACTACTGTACTTTACTTTACTTTACTGTCACTATGGAGACAGATTTTAATTAATTATTATTAAACAGATTGTGGGACCCATGGGACATCACAATGAACTACAAGAAGTTCCGTGTTTTGATGGGGAAAATGTTCTGGCCCACGTACCATCTGTTAAGTTAGAGACAATATCCCCAAAGCTGGAGGAGACAGCAGCTGGTAGCTCAGATGATGAATGCATAAAGCCTGCCATCAGTGAGGAATTACTCTCCAGGTGAGACTATCACTTACACTCCTGTCTTGGTTATAGCTGCTATAACCCTGCCATAGTTTTAGTTTAAAGTTTTACCCTGTTTTTTCAACCAGATTAGCTTCAAGGTATATTGACTTATTTACTGAGCATCATCCATCGCTGCACATTGTATTAACAGAAAATGAATATGAATTTCTTGGATGTTGTAAGGAACACCACCAATAATGACAGGGATACAGGATTTTTTCATTAAATTTTTACTCTTATTTTATCATCAATATGGTTCACAAACATACCATTATAGTGTTGTGTATAGTGTGGAAACATTTCAGAGTGTGATGTAATTTGGGAAGTGTTGGGTATTTTTTTTTTTGCTCAATCATTGACTCCATGTAAGAATCCCTCATTCTTATTCATAACATTGGTTTTACGTTAGAGGCTTGCCGTTTGTTGAATTGTTCTCTATCAAGTGTTTTCTGTGTGCATGGACTCAAGCATAACATAGAGAAAGCCTTTTTACTTGCTTTTAAAGTTAGTATAATTGGTGTCCGTATCCACAGATACAGTGCAAGTGACGAACAGTTGGCTCGAGCTTACCGTGTGATGGACAATGAACTACGTACCAGTTTCACACTGTTTGCGGAAGAAGTTGTTACTCAAGATGTTGTTGATGGTGTTAGCATGAATATCAATGACAGTAGGAACTCTCCAGATGCTAGTATGAGATTAGCCCCACCACTTCTCAGCCCAAGACAGTCTAGATCATGTCCATGCAGTCCAAAATTATCAGGAAGGAATCATAGTCCCAAGTCTAACACTGGTAGTCCTAAACCTCAGTCTCGTTCAGGAAGCTCCAAATTCTCCCTCAGCAGTTCCCTCATGGCTATTCACAGACAAGCTTCCAATTCTCTCAGACCGGATTTTCTGCGATTTGACTCTGGCAAGGGAGATTTTGGTGGTAGTTGTTCTAAGAATGGCTCCCAGCAAAATAGTCTGAGAAATGAGTCAAGGTATTCACGTCCTAGTTTAGAAGCACAGCACAGTAGCTTTGGAGAGTCCCATTTAGACTCTAGTAACAGTGGGTCCCTGAGGGGAGAGTCAACTAGGCATGAGTCCTCCAGGATTGCTTTACATGAGAGTCAATCACTTCCCACACTAAAACTCTCCAAAATGTCTATGACATACAAAGGAGGTGTTCTTGTTAACCAGGATAAAGACCCTGCACAGTTGCACTTCTCTGACACATCAAAGTTACTTGTAGAAGGTGCTTGTGCTCTTCCTTCCACTCCTGAGGATGATACTATTTCAGAGGAGCTGTCGAGTCCTACAATGCTCCTTCCTGATGTTGTACCGCGGTATGAAGTTGGAGGTTCCCCTTTAAATCGGATATGTGAATCGGAACCATCAGTCTCATCCACTCATTCAACTCCCATGGAGCCAAGCATTAGTTACCATTATGATTCAAAGGAGGGAATAATTAATCTGGGTTTTGATGGGCATGATGAGAGTTCAGATTTTACTGACTTAAATGAGGCTATAAGTGCCAAAGCTTCTGATATAGAGAGTAATTCACAAAGAAGCAGAAGAGGCTCAACTGACAGTGATATTGACATAGGGAAACACAATCTCCAGATGAATGTAGGGAGTGTTCATGCTATCTCCATAGGCCATGTTCCCCAGGGTCAAGATGTAGCATTGTCTCTTGAGTTACCTCAAGTATTAGCTCAAGAAACTTCTCAGGCTGGTAAGTGTTTTGCCATATTGGGTACCAGAAATGTTGTTTATTGACATTATTATGTAAACTTTTTCCTGAGGTATCCTGTGTTTGCAGTTCTAGATTTGGATCAAGATTCAAATTGGGTACTATTTTAAGAACTCATTGACAGCTTATCCTGATGTATTGTAATGCAACCCTCTAGGTTCAAGCCCTCAAAAGAGAACTTCCTCCTATTCTTACATTTTGAGTTGAGGGGCAGAAGTTAGCCTTTTCCCAAAATAAGTCTCTGCCTTCCCTTAGCCATCTTACCCTCAATTTTGCCTGTTAATGTTTCTGTTATTATTCCCTCATCCCTAATTATATGACCAAAGCTTTCTTATTTATTTTTTCTATACATTTCAAGTATTTCTCTTGAAGTTTTTGCTAATCTTAGTACTTCTTCATTTGTTTTCCTGTCAGCCTAGCTTATCCTTCGCATTCGCCTGTAACACCATATTTCAAAAGCCTCCAACTTCTTTCTGGTGTCTGGTGAATGTGTTCATGCATCTAACCCATACAATAGTCTTGCCATATAAAGCCTTTCAGCAGCTTTTTTCTCAAATTGAAGTTAATATCTTTTCTTAGGTCTGTTAGATTGTTAAATCCTGTTTTTGGTGGCCCTATTCTTGTTCTGATTTCTTCTATACATCTACCATTACAGCTAATGTTATTTCCTAAATACAGCATGCGCTTAAAATTTGCGGGGGTTAGGTTCTCAAAATGGCCGCAAATCACCAAATTTGCGAATAGCATTTGCTGACCACGGGAGGGAGTCAATTTTTACTTGTGTGCAAAGAAATGTATATTCCCTTTTTGTGTATGCCCTTTGGACAATTATAAATAATAATGGGAAAATTCTCTCACAAATAATCAGAAACAAGACAACAAAAATGTATTAAAATGTGAGTGTCTACCCTCAAGTCAACTTCATGCTTTGTTATTAAAGTTTTAACAAAGCACGGAGTTGACCTGAAAGTAGACTAACATATTTAGTGCATTTTTGTTTTCTTGTTTCTGATAATTTGTGAGATGATTTTCCCATTATTAATTATGTGTATGTGTTTTGTGTGTGTGTGTCTACACACACACACACACACACACAACAAGTAAAAGAAATTCTGTCTCTAGAACGAATGGCTCCCCGTCCTGCTGTGAAAATGCCAATAACTTTAAAACTACCCTTAAATATTCTTGGGTACATCCAGGGCGTCATCCGCGAATAATTGAGGTCCGCGAATAGTCAGTGCATGCTGTACACAAAATTTTCCACTTGTTTAACCCCTACGTCCCGGATGACATACCGGAACGCCCGACTGGCGTGCCCCGGGTGACATTTCAGAACGCGCGCCTTTTCCCGCCATTGTTTAAGGCCCAAATTCAGAACAGTGATTTGAAACCGCATGAAGGTTTAAACCAAGGATTGAGTGGAGATTGAAGATTGTTGGTATTCAGAACGCTGGCTTGAGCTAACACAAATATTCAAACCGGGTTTGAGATCGGAATTGTCAATCCTCGCGTTAATCCAGCCTGGAGGCAGGTTTGACGGTTCATCCTCCAAGGAAGTCAACAGGAATTTTGACAGAGAACGCGGTTTTTAGCGATATCATCAAATTGGAAATTTTGTAGAGAGAAGACTGATGGTAGATAGGCAGAATCCTATAAGTTTTTATGATAACACGCAGCTTAAACAACGATATAGGTTCAGCAAGGGAGATTTCCTTGATATTTTCCGTGATATGGAGCATTAACTTGACAGACCTGTTAGCTATGGTTCACCTCTACTACCCATTCATCAGCAGATGGCTGCTTTCAGATTCTTCGCAACGAATATTTTCCGGGTAAGAAGTATTCTGGTTACTGAATGAGTTATGGTAATGTGTTACCACACTTTTGTGTTGAGGGTCCATGAAGATCAAGAAGGTAAATGTAAAGAACGTTGATGCTTCTTTATTTTGAGTGTTTTTCTTCAGGAAAACTATTTTGATGTGTTTTTAATGTAATTGAATCAATACTGAGTGCATTTTGATTTTAATGTATTAATAAAGGAATGTCTTTAATTAAAATTACTAATCAGGGGGTAATGTGGAGTTAAAAGAACAGAAAGAAACCTAGCCCGGTTACTACACCCTCATTGATTCATCTTGCTTTGGTTACGAATATTGACACCTGTCCTGGATTATATTTACAATTTGTATGTAATTGTTCTTCCTCTATGAATTTCTTTGTTGTCATATAACAACACAGTACGTTGTAACACAGTACCATAAATCATTATAATTTTGTCAAAATTTTATTGTAATTATAATAATAAAAGTAACTTTTGATGTGCACGGAGAGATTTCTCCTCCCCTGTAAAAACTCGTCGAGTCATAGTTGCCGCCATGATCTTGTAAACATTGCTCTTGGTGGTGATTGGCTGTCGTAATGGTGTAGATGAAACATGATTGGCTAGAATTTCAGTGTTTGAATCCTTGCTCGTAACTGAAGAAAATTTAACAGATTACTCGATCCGGGGTTCAAGCCGATGTTCTGAATATGGATAATCCACTGCAGGAAATCTTGACTCAAGGCATCCTGACTCTCACGCCTGAGCTGAGTTCAAATCCCAGGCTCAAACTATCATTCTGAATTCGGGCCTAAATGCGTTACTTGCTCTACCAAACACAAAGGTAGCCTGGCGATCGACTGCGAGTGTGTCGCCGAGCACTTTTTATGAAAAATAATGCAAATAAAATATTCTAAATGAATTATTTATAGAAAATAAGTATTATGATAAGTAAATATATTTATTACTGGCCATCCCAGACACAAAGGCAAACAGCAAACGACTGCTAAATGCGTAGTGACCACGAGCGGCAGCCGTCAAAACAACACGGTCCCTTTATCTCCCTCGCCACTGTTGCCACAGGGAAGTTTCTAGAGGGTCAATAAATAGTTTTCTTACTTCTTTTTGATTGTTTTATCATTTATAAAGGTTAAATATTATTGTTGGAAAAGTTTTGATTTTTCTCGATTAACCCCCGCGTGGGGGTACACGGCCAGTGGCACCCTGGCCCGGAGCTTGGGGGTTAAGTTTACTGTTTCTTACCATAATTTTTATTTTAGGATTTATTTCCAATTTGGATACAACCATTACTTTCGTCTTTACAGCATTAAATCTTAAACCATATTTTTCACCTTTTTCCACTAATCTGTTCACAAGTTTTTGTAATGCTTCTTCACTATCTGTGATAAGAACAGTGTCATCTGCATAACATATATTTGATATTACTTCACCATTAACTTTAGTCCTTTATTATCACTTATAATTTCTCATTAAGAATTCTGAATATATATTGTAAAATGTTGGAGATAGAACACAGCTTTGTCTTACTCCCTGTCTAATTGTGAGCCAATAGTTCATTATTTACTAACACTGCAGCTGACTGTTGCCAATAAAGATTCTTTAAAATTCTAATATCTCCTTCTATAATGCCTATTTTTTCTAATATCACCTTAAGTTTATTGTACAGTTTCGTTCAAGATTCTTCGAACACTGGTGGAGACAGCTGGCAACTTACGGCCATTTGTTTACTATAGTACGTAGTATAATATAATATGAAACAACAAAGCCCAACCATTAATTTAAGCAATGGGGTACTAAGTAACCAATCACTTTTACATTTATTCATAATTTTTACAACGTACTATAAAGTAAATAAACGGCCTTGAGGTGCCAGCAGCGTTCGAAGAATCTTGAACGAGACTGTACTTTACCATATAAAAAGCCTTTTCAAAACCAACAAAGCAGATATACAAATTTCTTTGGACCTCTAAAGTCCTTTCACTCAAAATTGTCAAACCAAATATTATAGGTTTTCTAGTTCCTTTTCCCTTTCTCAATCAATTTTGCTCTTCAGAATAACTCGCTTTCTATTCTAAACTTTATTCTACTTAAAATTATGTTTAATAAACTTTGCTGGCATGACTTATTAAGCTTGTTGTTCTAAACTGGGTCCACTCTAAGGCTCCTGGCTTTTTATGTTCTGTAATAGCATAACAAATATTGATTTTTTTAAATTACTGGGTAGATCTCCTTTTAAGGCATATAAAATTACATATTTTAATTAAACATTTTATCCCATTCTTGCCCATTTGTTTTATAAATTCTGTTGGAAGCTGATCAACTCTGAAAGTTTTATACTTTTTCATTTTGCTCACAGCAGCCTCGACTTCTGTTTTCAGAATTGGTATTTCGATCTTTATTTCTTTTTTGTTTCTACTCTATTCTTATCATTGCATAGTTCTTCTACTTTCTCTGCCCATCCCTCTTTTACAGTACTTCCTCTGCCTCAAACAGGATCTTAATGTCTTTGCCTTTATTTGTCCCACCCCATTTATTTCCTCGTTTCTGGTTCATTTGTTTAATCTTTCAGTACATTTCTCTATAATTATGCCTTCTGTCATATCTTCAATCTCCTTGAATTTCCTTTCTAGATTATCTTTCTTGACTTGTCTGCATTCCCTTTGAATTTCTTTGTTAATTTTTATGTAAGCTTCACTTCGTTTTCTCATATACAGTACAGTATTTGCGTATATCTATTTTGTTTAAATTTCATTTGTCATCCACATACTCTTAGCCTCGTTCCTCATATGTCCTATAAGTTTTTCTAGTCTCTAATATTACTTCTTCGTAATTATTAGATTGTTGGCCTGGTTCTTCATCAAAGCAATGCTAAAAATCTATTTTTGGTTTAAATTTCATATTCTATCCCTGATCCTCTTTTGAGCTTACCTAAGTCCATTTTGATTTTGCCCATAGTTTTCTTTTTTAATTTTTGAAGATGGTCTGACCCACAATCTACCCCTGGATAGGTCTTGGTTTGGGTTATTGAATTTCTGAAACTTTCCTGAATAAAAATGTAATGTATTTGATTCCTGACTATGTTTACATTGTCCTGGGATGAGACCCATGCACAGAGATGCCTAGAGTGTTGTTCAAACCATGTACAGGTATTTGTAATTATCATCTTGTTTTCCATACAAATCTCAATTAATATTTTTCCTCATTTTTGTTACCCAACCCATGCGGTCCTATTTCTGGTGCTATTTTCCCTTTCCCAGCTTTTGCTTTCAAATTGCCCATTTATAATCAGACATTCATTAAACTTTACAGTGTCTTTTGCTTTCTTTAAATCTTCATGAAAGTTGTCAAAAGCTTCATCCTCACTATCATTTGTTGGTGCATAAGCCTGTATTACCAAGTCCATGGGTTTAGCATTAAACTTGACCATCAAAACTTTATCTGACACAACTCAATATCCCTGTATGTATACCACCAACACCTCTCTCATGTTTTTTAACCACCTGAATATATGAAGTAAGAATCTTTGCCGCTAATGCTATTTGAACCTGTGCATCTTACTTCACTTAATCCCAGAATGTCCCACTGAAATCTTTTCATTTCCCTACAAACATTTGCTTATGTACTTGCCTCATATAATGTCCTCACATTCCATGTTCCAATTTTTATTGTGTGTTTGTTCATTTTTAAACTTTCCTTGGTGCTACTGTCCAAGGTTTTGTTTTGCTCAGTTAATACTTGCTAGCTCATGGTGGCACACTGCCCGCAGGCACAGAAGGCAATGCGGTTGGACCTTTTAGTGACAATGGTCCAACAAGAACACAGGAGAATTGTTTATTTTGTCGTTTCATGAAGATAAAGTTAATGAGAATGGATGCCCCAAACCTTTTCTCATCAGGAGATTGATTAGAGTGAATAGAAAAAGTTGGGAATGAACTATGGGGTGTAGAGGCCGCTCATACCTCGCTGGTAAAGAACCAGCCCACCACGAGCAATACTGTACTTCAAATACTTGTAGAGGGGCTAGCTGTTGGCTGACCTAATGCAAATATGAAATGGTTACATCTATTTGTGCTGTAGAAAAAACAAAACTTGAAAACTGCTGCAGTAAGTGTCTGCATGAAAAAGTTAAATAATTGAAGAAAGGAATCTTAAGATGCAAGAAATAAAATCAATAACGGGTATATGAAGCCCAAAACAGATACGTAATATTGTTTGAGAATATGTTACAGACACCAGGTAATGCTATACCAGTACTGTATATTGGGTCCCAGTATGAAAGGGTATAATATTCTCTTTCCTTATCCGACCAAATCTAATACCTGTTACAAGAATATGCCATATGCTTAACAACATGTGGTAAAGAACTAAGAAGACTCATAGTGAGCTGAAGGAAAGTGAGGATGTATGAAGTAGTTTTTGCATTGGAAAGTACCCGTAGATTTTGGAAGATGAGTTGATATTGAATTAGTGAGGCATGAAAGTTTAAAGTACATTGTAAAATAGGAAGATGGTGATGATGTTACTGAATATTAGGAGGATTCTTGGGGAGATGATTTTGTTGAGGGCATTGTGCTGTAGTGGTTCTGGTACTCAGGTGATTGGGAATTTGTGTACATGGAGCTTTGAAATGAAGGAGCATATTTGAGTAAGGTGAGTTAATATAGAGAATTTATATAAGGTCTCCTCAGATCAGACAATTTAAATATCTATTTCAGTTTACCATGTTGCATTACTGCACTACAGGAATGCCACTTTTAATGGTTTACTTGGTTAATGCCAGGCAATTTTATTCAGCTCAAAAAGAGTGAAAATCATCTAAAGTAAAATTCTTGCATTAATTTGAGAAAAAATAACATGATTACCGGTAAATATTGAATACTGTATATATTTTTCTCACAGGTGCCGACATCAGCAACATCTCTGACATGAGTGAAACCCCATCATCTAGCCGTCCCACAACACCGTCCACAGCCAGCCCTTCCCTAGCCCCTCACAACCCTTCCTCTGGTGATACAAACTCGACAAGCCCACAACGCCCTATAATTGAGGAAGGAGATGATGATGATGCCCCTTATGACCACATGCAAGAAGCTCGGCAACTTGTATTTTGGTGGCAGAAATCAAACCCTCATGATGACTCGGAATTTTGTCAGAACAATGCAGAATGTAAAGTGAAAGTGAGTTGTGCAGATATTTCTGTTTGAATGCATTTTACCATTTTGTTTTTATTAGAAATTCAACATTACTTCCAGCATCTCCACCTTACATTTGAACCAATAACTTCCTCTCAGCAAATATTGTATAAGATATTATCCAATAGAAATCAGGACATAAGTTGAATATTTAGGGTAGCTACTTATTAAACTAAGGTTATAATTTGGGTTGATAGCAGAAATGGATTTCAGTGAATCAGCTTCTTAAAGACTCACTTTCATATGTTCTGTGAATTGGTGTGACTTGACAAGGTGACATGAACTAACATTGTTGAGTGATTGTGACTTCTTCATTGTTGTATTTCTCTGGCAGGTAAACCAAAAATGGAGTTTTGTAAAACTTAAGTCTACATGACCTGGATTCTTGTGTAAGAAATCTGCTCACCTATTGCCTGTCCTTCATTCTCCTGTTTTACCCATTCATTTATTGAGTTTGATTAATATTTTTTGTAACAATCATAAAAGAATACTTTCCTTTGGCATGATAAACATCTAGTCAAATTTATCATATTCTTCAAATGTATTATCCTTACCTGTTCTGCATCTCATATTCACTCCATTATTAACAGCCTCTCCAGTGGTGTGTCTAATTCAGATGTACATTAGGACATTACTGTAGTGAATTTTAATATTCACTATAATTTTTACTTTACTTGTCATTGGTAATAATAGCACTAATTTCTTTTCAGCAAAAACCTCTGTTGCTCTTCCTTCATGGCATGGGTGGCAGCAGTGATCACTGGCGACAGCAACTTTGGTACTTTGTTAGTTGTGGCTATGAGGTAACACTACCCTTTGTATAATCTCATAAAATAAAAACTACCTGATATGTCATGAAGAAAATATATACCTCAATCAATTGTAGTTTTAGTGTTGGAGCTGCTGTTTAATGTGGACGTAAAGTCAGTTTACTGTGACTGTAATATTATGAGTATCATAAAGCTAACACCCACATATGAAATGGCTGACCTTTCTTTCTCATTTACCATTTTGTGGGTATGATACAAAATGCTGCTATCTTCCTTGTGTGACATTTGAAATATAGCCATATTTATGAGATACAAATCTCTCTCATTTTCCTCTCCCTCTCTCTCTAAGTTCATTAAGAAAGTTGTTCATTTCTCTCAGGTTGTAGCCCCAGATCTAATGGGTCATGGGCTAAGCTCAGCACCAAAGGATGCTTCCCAATACACCTTTTCACAAATGCTCGACCACATAACACTCGTATTCGATCTGTTCGTGCCACAAGGACGCAAGTGTGTTGTTATTGGTCATGGTTATGGGTAAGAACTCTTTCTTTTCTCAGTTAAAATATTCATTCAGTGGTTGTATGGATATTGTCAATCAGTAATATATTTTCATTTAATGTGCATCACCATTTCATCATAACATCACCAAGGGATGTTTCACATTCCTTTATAAATTGAGACCTTGGAGAGAATCAGCAGATCATACGATAGGACTCTCATATTTTATACTATTCTGACATCAAGCTCCCAGGGGTGTCTTTGTATGCTACTGATATAATGTTATTTATTGGTGTTGAGTCATTTTAATGTAACCCCAGAGATATTTTCACTCTTGAAAGTGTAAATCTAATTTTATATGCAGGAGGATGTTAATTTTTATGTTTCTGTTGTTTTTGTTTTTAATCATACCAACTCTTACCTTCATCTTTTCAGGGTGGCAGGAATCACTTGTAAAACACACTGTCATCCATTCATTCATTCTCGATGATGTAAAAGATTTGTTCACATATGATGTCCACAACAAGGCTCCATGAAGGCCATTGGTTTTCCATATTTTAAACCGATTATTATTGTATGGAGATATTTACACATGTTGATTTGCATGACAGTAAATCTGACAGAAATGTCTAAAAGTCTTTTATATCAGATTACTCAATTATCAACTACGTGTACTTCATATTGTTGTTCATTTTAATGATGGCATTAACTTATTTATTACTCTTTTGCTCTGTACTATGCCCAGTAAAAATATTAAGACATTGTATAACAGATGCTCCCTGGCTGCAGCACTAGCAAGAGGCCGAGCACTGTCAGTACGTCTGGTTATAATGGCCAGCTGTGGCGGGCCTAACCCTCTGATTCCCAACCCTCCAAGCAAATCTATCTTGCACTCGCATCTTGCCACATTTCTAAGTCCCTTTTTGGCCTGCGGTTGTTGCAGGTGAGTCTTGCTCTACATTTTATATTATGAAATATTTCTTTTGACTTTTGGATAACATTAGTTGACCCCCATTTAAATTATGCTAATTGATTTCCCATATTTAAGATTTCTTAGAAACCATGAAAAAATGCATTTTGTGACCACAATGATAAAACATAATTTCCTTTGAAGTTTTCTGAAGGCTGTGATGTTTTAAAGCACTAACAGTATCAGTACTACTACTGATTACTATACTGTATGTTTAAATGGAAATTTTAATTTTGTTACTTTGTGTTAATTTACTATATTTATCCATAAAAATCTACATGAAATGGCCAGACAGCTATAAACTACAGTATTAAGTGATGACATTTTTTTAGTGAATCTGAAAATCATTTGTAATACTGTACACAAATGTCAGATCTAAATTATTTTTCAAAATAATGTAACCAAGTTCAGTTCAAGTGTCCGTATATTTTGATGCTTCATTTTTACACATATGTACCAGTATTGCTTTTTTGTGGTAAAGGTGGAGACCATTAGCATCAGAAAAACTTGATGGAATTACACCAAATTTTCAGATGTTGTTTGGATGATACCAAGTAATAAAATCGAAACAACAACATTGAAGTATACAAGTACCCGTACTGTATTTTTTTAGCCTATCCTTCGATCATAAATTACTTGTTAGTAGGCAGGGTATGAAAGAAGAAGGAAATGACATGGTTAAAAACAATGTGAAAATTGATTATCCTCTGTAGGCAAAGAAATAAATTATTTACCATAATTTTGGTGCCGTCAGATCTCCTGTGGTGATGATGTTCTGGTTCACATCGTCTTCTGTTATATATGGGAGCACCCATGGTCTTTGTTTAAATGTCAAGAAACAAATGATCTCATCGGGCGTGTTTATTATAATGTACAGTATATTAGATTGAATTTAATATTTTTTCTACAAATGTTGTTTGGATGATAGTAAGTAAGAAAATCAAAATGAGCATGCACTGGTTAGGAGGTTAGGTAGGTTAGGTCAGGTTCTAGGGGGCTCTGTGCATGCTTTCTTCCATTTTCATGTTCAGTATCATGCAAATAGTATCTTCAGAAATTGTGGTTCCGTTCCATATAGTATTTCTGTTGTTAACTGTCTCCTCCACCATTACCCTTTTTGTAAATACTGTAGCTGTAGTAACATAACTTCCCTCCAAATCCAGATGTACTTTCAGCCTGGAGAACATGTGGAGATATTAGGGTCTTAAGGCCCAACTCACCTACATATTTTTTGTTAACTGCAGAGATATGGAGGATTTGATCATATGGTCTGAATCCTTTTATAATACTATTTAGATATGATAATATGTAATGTACTTGAGCAAAAAAAAGTCTTTGGGAAACTGGAATATTATATATTACAGTACAATCTCTCCTCGACTTACAACTGGGTTCCATACCGACGACCAGGTCGTAAGTCGAAAAGGCGAAGATAATACATAGAAATTCTAAAATGGGCGTTTCTTTTTCTTCTCAGCACCTCGAGAACTCTCACTTTTACGCTTGCCAGCCATTTTAAAGAGATTTACAAAAAAAAATTTTGTCAGTACACAGCGCGATCACCAACGTCGGGACTCGAAACTACGTAATGTGAAGAATATTTTATACGATCAGGGCCGTCGTATGTCCGGGTTGTCGTAAGTCGAATATGTCGTAAGTCGAGGAGAGACTGTACTTGCTTTAAAATAAAGTTTGATGTGATGTTTCCTTTAAGTTTCTTGACTCTCCAACAGTCGTGAGATTCTGTATGCTCCAAGAGGAAAACATTTTGCTTCCGCCACACTCTCTGGGTCAGACATCACACCGACGCCTCGTTATGTTCTGGAGTATGTGGCAAAGGGACAGAACTGGCCTGAAGGGGATGTGGCATTCCACCGCCGTATCACAGTCCCCACCTTACTGTTGCAGGGGATGAAGGATGACCGGGTCTCACTGGTAGAAATGTGTGAAATGGAGAGGGTGAGTACTTTACTGTACTCTTCTTGTCTTTGTTAGGAAAGGGTAAAGTTTGAATTATGATGTTAATAAACTGGAACTATGAGTTACCACCCAATGACAAGTGTCCAAGTCACTGGTACCATTTAGTTGATAAACTGATAACCTGATAACTTCCAAAACTCATCACTAGTGAATCATGGAAATCCATCCAGTTCCACGTAGTCAATTCATGTGAAATTTGCATATATTCTGTGTCCAGTAAAATACCTTGTGTTGGCTTTCACATAGAGAATCCTTTATACAGTTTCAGCCATTTGGTAATTGTCATACACACTTGAATGCTAAAACTGTTGTTACCCTTCTAATATTTTCTGACTAATTTTAGAAAAAGTGATACTAATCAGACCTTCATCTTAAGGGGACATCTTATGCTAGAGGAAACTATTTTCTGCAGAGGATGCTTTGTTCTGCTTGAGGAGCTATCACACCGAGTCAATTTTCCGTCTTTATGATTTCCTTCGTTTCTTGCCTTTGTTCCGAGTCAATTCACCTTCCTTAGAATATAAAAATATACCATCGTATATTTCTTGAAAACTATGCAATACTGTATTACCAACCCGAATAAAATAAGAAGCATTTACTCTGTGAACATTAGACTTTCATATGATTGTTTTCATCATGGACCAGAGTCACCTACTTTGAATCTTTCTGATGTTTAGCAGCAAAGATGTACCAAATTGTAGAGATGTGAGGCCCAAAGAAGCAAAAGGCTTAATTGAAAAATTAGGAACTCTCCTGCTACTGAATTGGGGACTTGCACTTACAAGGGTGAAGTGTTACATTTTGGTGCAAGAAGATGCAGCTGCCTTAAAAGAGCTCCACCACTTTTATTACTGATTCAGTTGAAGACCATTGTCCTCACGGTTCATATTCGATAGGGAGTCGACAATATGATCCTTTAAAACAAGGACAAAGTTTTAGAAACCCACAAAAAATTACCCCAATGTGATAACTGCTTTAGTTCTGCAGAGGACATTGGTATGGAAGGGATGCTATGATCTGGGGGACACATGTTCCCAGGGCTTGTGAATATGCAGAATTTTTTATAAATTATAAATTTTAGATCACCTAAAATGCATACTTGATCATTTAAACCATTGATTCACTCCAATATTTTTCTTACAATTTTCGCCACTTATTAGCTTACTAGCTGTTTGGGCAGTTGGTCTATCTAGTGTTCGTACAGGAGAAAACCAAGAATTGGGAAACCTGTGATGTTTGGTAGGGTCATACAGGATAATACACTTCTTGTGTGTGTCCTGGCAAGGATCGAACCCTTGACATATTGGTGAGAGTTTTGTGGTCTACTGCTGTACCACCAACACTATTAAATCAAATCATGAAAATTACACTTCATTCATATACAGTATTTATACCACAACTTTACTTCAACTTATTATTTTTCCTATCCCTTTAAATTTGTATCTTTAGCTTTACCACTCAGTACTTGTCAAAGCACATTATAAAACTGGTCAGTGGAGCATACCATGATGTTCATGATGCTTGAGCTGAAGAACAATTTCTTATTTACAAAATCAGATTCCAGTAGTCTTTGAAACACTGCATTGTTAAGGCAGCATCCCTAGGGATAATGGGATTGAGCCAAGAAATAAGAATGACTTTGATTTGGGTCAGCATGTAGGAAAAATCCATACATTTTGGACAGAATTTGATTATTTTTTTATAAAATTTGTCACTTCATAATTATGGCTGACCAAGACATAGTAGCATTTTTATAACTTATATAATGGAAGACATCAATTTTAGTTTAATGTATGGGCTTTGGGGACAAAAGTCTATTATTGTATAGGAAGTTTAAATTTTTTTGTATATCACTAGAGCAGTGGTTCTTAACCTTTTTTGAGTCACGGACCCCTTTGGGAATCTGGTGAAAGCTATGGACTCCCTCCCTAGAAAAATGCACATAAACACAACTTTTGCATGCAATGAATATACTTTATTTTATTGAAAATTCATTGCCCCATACAGTGTATGACATAAGTATGAATAAAGTAAACAATCTTAACAAAGAATTATGTTTCACACTTTTTTATGCAAAAATTAAAGGCCACTCCATACAAAAATGAAATACAATCATCTTGTGCAAATTAAACAAAACAAAACTTTAATTCTGCTCAAAAGTTCATTTCAATGTGAAGGATGTTGTTGTTTGGATTGAAGATAAATGTTAAATTTTTATCTGACCTTCACGGACCCCCTGAAGCCCATCCATGGACCCCCCAAGGGGTCCATGGACCCCAGGTTAAGAACCCCTGTACTAGAGCTTATACCATAATTGTTTCAAGGTACACAGGTGTAATATAAAACAAAACATTATTAGACTACAGAGAAAACAAAATACCTCTGCCATTTTGACCAGAATGCAAATCCTGTGAATCATGAAATGCCAACATATTGTAGATTACACATGCAAAATCTTTAAGTAGAAAAAAATAAAAACCAGGGTAATAGTCATTATGTTCACTATAACCAGTCTTAGTTTAATCTTAAATATAACCTTACAAGATAATAAGGATAAGTTTATAAAATATGTAAATTGTAATTTCTTTTACAGACAATCCCCAGAGCATTTTTGGAGATGGTTCCTGGTGGGGGTCATGACCTGATGACGGACGCGCCCTTAGAAGTGTGTCATGCTATACATCGTTTTATAAAAAGGTGGAAGCAGCAACTTTGAGATTTATTCCATGTATATTAAAAAGTATAGCTACCCTCTTCATCAGTGGTGGAATTAGGAGTGCTTTGCCAAAATATGAATATAGGACATTATGTACAGTATAGCCCACAGATGAACAGTGTACTGTTACAGAGGAATATGGTTACAAAGCAGCATTGATGTGTTCATGAAGTGTAACGATCCCTTCCCTAGGTGTACTCCACGACAAAACCTGTCGGTGTAAAAATCTATTCCTGTTGAGAGTAGATCATTAGATAGGTAGTACAGTAATATTCTCATTAGTATTATGTTTTAGAAGCTTCTGGCACATTGTTATAAGCACAGTATACAGACTACAGGTATAAGATATAACTAAGTATTGTACAGCCAAGTAATGTCCACCTCCTTTCCTCTCAAACTCCTTTCCCACCTCCCTTTTCCTTCCCAGAATGCAACACTGTTCGTTCTGGCCTCCCAAAATTTAGAATCATAGTCATTTGTTTATTGTGTGGAAGGAAAACTACACTATGCCTTTAATGGTGTCAAATAGCTACGTTGCCATCATCACTCAAAGTCTTAATGATGATCAAAGAAATTTGGACAGTGAGAATCAAGTACAGTATGTTGGAGGATGAGGGAGTAGGCAGAGAGACTCAAGTATGTATGAGCATAATGGGGGACCAGATGTTTTAGGCATGGTTCTCGTAAATATCAGTTATGTGGGATAATCATGGGTCCTTTATTTGTACAGTAAGTCCTCGCTTAATGTCGTGGTTCTGTTCCTGAAAACCGCGACGTTGATGGTAACAAAGTTAACAGATTCAATTTTCCCCTTAGGAAATAGATAAAATGGGAGTTACGTTCCCCAGCCTCCCTTAGCCCCATAAAATACATTAAATATACGTACATAAATTCAATGGAATTTTTATAGATAATAGTATATATATAATATTATTAGACGTCCATAAAGATAAATAAACTAAATCATTTTGTATTGTACTCAATGATGGGCGTAGGTTGAGCGAGTGTGTGGTGGGTGGTGGAGAGTAGGAGGGTGGCTCCTCCTCCCGCTCTGACTGGATGAGAGAGGGTGACACTCCGTACAAAGTAGTCCGTGACAACGTTATACCGAATCGGCGGGACGTTGTCCGAATCATAGGTATCTAAAGCGTAGCGACATTATAACGAAACAACAATGTTAAACGAGGACTTACTTTACAGTAATATCTCCGTTACCTGGAATCCCTCAAACCTGGAACTCTCCGATATCCGTAATTGAAATTTTCTCGGAAAATCATTCCCAAAGCCATAACTTTCAGGAAAATTCTGGCTTTGGGAATGATTTTCCAAGGGGCTCATTTTCTGGAAAATTCTGAGAAAATTTTCCCAGTACCAAGAAATTTCTGGGAATTGGGGAGTTTTTTTCCGGGTTTAAGATATAAAAATCAGGCACATTTTCCGAAAATTCCCCCAAAAAATCCAGTACCCGGAAAATTCCAGGAATGGGGGATATTTTTCCGGGTTCAAGAGATGTGCAATTTCTGGAACCGGGAATATTTTGCCGTTACCCGGAAAATTCCAGGAAAGGGATTTTTTCCGGCTTTGAGAGAGTCGCCTCTTTACCCAGAAATCTCTCATTCCCGGAAGTGCTTTGCAGTAATTGTTCCGGGTAACAGAGATATCACTGTATTTCTATATGGGCTACATATGGGTAATAGTGACGTCACCTGAGACTGGGGTAGTAAGGAGGGTCTTCCAACCTCGCCATTTATCTACAAGAAAAACTGATACATTAATATGACAATTTTGTAATATCTAGTATTAAAGACTGAGTTACAAGTTTTGTTCACACATATTACACTAAAAGTTTATTAGAATTTTGAAGTAATTTGTAGTATAATATGGTAGAAATTATAGAAGTTCTTTACATTATTACACTGACCCATCTTAGAGCCCATGTTATTTTATCTTTTGTTTTCTTTTCCAGTTTTCCTAGGTGGGTTGTTGGTGCTATCACTAAGTATATTACTGTATATTTCCCTATGAATGGTAAATCATATGCACAATCACAGTCCTCTAGAAAACACACAAAACTCTTTCTCTGCGGCACCAGTATTTTGTCTCAGTTACTCTCAGGCACCCATGCCTATTGCTTCTTCCAAATATTTTTTCCCACTTCAATTATTTTGAAGTTTCCACAACGGTCACTGTTATCACTATGAACTGTTCTAGCTGGAGGCACAGTACTACACTCTCCGATCGTCCTTTGGACAGTCAAGCACAACCATGAACATGCCTCATTTAAAATTCTGAATAAATCTTGGCATATGGCAATGGTTTTGTGGTTGTATTCCCCATTGCCTATAGCTCCAGTCGAGTAGGGATAATATTTTAACATACAATCATGAATACTGTATCATTAAAAATGCTATATTGTTTTACAGTCACATCATTAAGATGATCTAGATGCTCTTATGCATTCACTGTGTAATTTCTGACGCTCAACAACGAAGGCTCAAATGCCAACGCGCTTTGTTACACAGATGCAACATGACTCAGCCTGTGCAAAGAAGTCAATAGTTTTGTAATTTGTTTTCATTGAAATTTATATCATTTTGTGTTGGATAAATATCACTCATAATAATACTCTATTTTGTTTTATCAGATTTTTATTGTATGTATTTATATTTTTTACATTAGTAAGCAGAGATATAACTTATGTAGTACAAGTTGTAAACATTTGCTTAAAATATCATCTTGGATACAATGTTTATTGGAAAAGCTTTGTTCTACATTTATGAGCTCTCATTTGATGTTCTAATTTCTGCATCAATAGTAGTCTCAAATGGATATTATTTCACATCCATCTTTCTTTAGTCAAATTTTATCTCAAGACCTGATGTGCATTAACACAGGTAATTCATCTTGTTAAGTTAGTAAGTGTTGAATATTGTTGAAAGACCATTTGTCATTGAGAGGGTGTTGTCAATATCTCATGGAAAGTCTTCATAATGTGTTGAAATTGTATGCAAATATTTTATAAACTTTTTTGAATATTGAGGATATAATTTGATACCTTTAATAAAATGGTTGGCAGATTTCATTCCTTGTCCCGTTTTC